TAGATTTTGTCTGTTGATTTGGGGCTGGGGCCATATCCTGTGGCTCTCAGGCAGGTTCCTGGAACTGCCTATAGGACCATGTGTGCCAGGCACTAGCCGTGCTTGTTTCACACGCTGTTCCCATTCCCAGGAAGATTTGGATTTGTTTTAGGGCCATACCCGGCAGTGCTCAGGGTTGACTCCTGGCTCTGTGTTCAGAGGTCACTTCCCATGGGCCTCAGGGGCTCTATGAGGTGCCAGGGATTGAACTCAGGTGGCTATGTGCCAGATAAGTGCCAATCCCTGTCCTGCCAATCTGGCCCCTTAGTGGAAGTTATTTTGGGTAACACCCAGCAGTGCTCAGGGAAGACTTCTGGCTCTGCACTCAGGGATCACTCTTGGTGGGTTCAGGGGACTATGTGGGGTGCCAGGGATTGAATCCAGGCCGGCCACATACTAGACAACTGCCTTCCCTCCTGTACTCTCTGGCCCCCATTGTAAGTTTTAAACTCTGGGCAGAGGAATCATGGATGAAGCTTCTGGATTCCAGTGAGTAGAGAAAATTTCTTCCACACTCTGAGGGTTTCCACAGCACCCCTGGTACCCCACTGGACCCTCTGCACGTCAGTGCCCGTTGCTGAGGCAGCATGTGGACGGTGCGGACATGCTCTTCTCTTGGGGAGAAGACCTGAGGAGGGTAAAAGACTGTCCATGGCTGATGTCAGCATAGACCGGGTTAGACCATCTTCTGCCATTGAAGCCCCTCCAACTCCATCTCCTCCCTGTGCCCCCATCCTAGTCCCATGCTTGAACCCAGATTTGTGCAGTTATCACCTGCGGCTCCTTGGAATATCCAAGGGGCCCCAGGGGCCTGTCCTGCCACAGACCACTCAGGAGCCATAACTGCCACTGACCTTGCCGAGACAGTGCCCTGTCCTGTCCTCGGTAAGCCTGGCACCCACTTACGTGTCAGTATTTGTCCTGTGTGAGCGCAGAGATCTCTGCCTGCAGCGACACGTGTGGAGGTTTAATCAACCATGTTGGGGCTCTTCTGGTGCTCAGCAATTCTCTCAGCAAGCAGGGCTCAGGCCCAGGGGACCCTGCAGGTCTGGAGGCAGAGGGCTGGCCTGTTTGTCTGTGGGGGATCCCGGGATGTGGAAGGGGGCTGGAGACTGGAGTCCCAGGTTCAGTCCAGCACCACCCCAGGGGTGGCCCTTGAGCACTGCGCTGACGTACCCACAAAATACAACTATGACTCATTTTGTCCTTGTTGGGGGCCACGCTCAGCTGTGCTCCGGCAAGCTGGGAGTGGGGTTGGGGGCTATGTGGTGCTGGGAAGTCTCCAGCACTGCGAGCACATTCCCTGCCCTGCCTTTTCTGCCCAAAGCTCTCCCTTTTTGCCACAACTCAAGGAAAGGTTTGAGGGAAAGAACAGGCTTCCTTCCCTCAACTCTCATTCCTGACTGAGTTTGGCAAACAGCATTCTTATCTGTTTGTTTTTATTTGGGGGCCCTCAGGACAGTGCCTGGGGGCTGATTCCCACCCCCACCCTAAGGCCCATCATTGTTGCCAGGGATTATTTCAAGCCATGCATGGCTCCACCCAGTGGCCTTGAACCTGGGCAGAGAGAAAGGTGGGGAGGAAGAAGGAGAGGGAGGGAAGAGGGGAAGGGGGAGGGGAAGAGGGAGGGGGTAGAGAAAGAGAGAGAGAGAGAGAGAGAGAGAGAGATGGAGAGGGAGAGAGTGTCTCCCTGTGCTCAGGACTGACTCCTGGCTTTGTGTTTTGGGATCACTCCTAGAGAGGCTCAGGAGTGCTGAATGGGAACAGCCCATCAGAGGCCAAATGGGCTGCTGGGAACTGAACCCAGGTCAGCCATGTGCAAGGCAAGCAAGCGCTATACCCACTGGCATCTCTTTCCAGTTCCACAGTGAAACTCCTGGTCAAAATCAGAGTATGTGAGAGACAGTCTCTGCTGCTTTGCAAAGAGAGTAAAGGTTTTGATCCAGTGACTTCCTCAACTTCCATTGTCACCTGCCTGAGGCTGACTCAATGTGGCAGGAAGCTCAGTGACACTCCAGATGCCATCATCTCCTTCATTACTTCTTTTGTTTATGGTTCACAGCTGGCAGTGCCTCGGGGCCCATATGGGTGCCAGGCACTGAACCCAGGTTGGCCCATGCAAGACAAGCACCCTACCCACTGTGCTATGGCTCCAGCCCTTCCTTCATTCCTTTCTTCCTGGATTTTGTTTAGATTTTATTTGGGGGGAGGCACACCTCCAGTGCAAGAGGGTTGCTCCTGGCTGTGCTCAGGGAGGGTGGTGCTGGGCCCCCTGGGTGCAAAACTCACAGTTTTCTAAACCTTTTCTAGTCTCGCTTCCAGAGTGACTTCAAATCTGAATAGACTGAAAAGGCTGAAATTGAAAATATATTTGGACTGGAACAATAGTACACTGGGTAGGGTGCTTACCTTCCTTGCACATGGCCAACCCAGGCTCAATCACCAGCACCCCTTATGGTCTCCTGAACTCCGCAAGGAGTGATCCCTGAGCGCAGAGTCAGGAATAAACCCAGAGCAGTGTGGAGCATGGTGACAGGCACTGGAGCAGATAAGGCCTGACCTTGCAAAGTGGCCCAGAAGTGAAGCCTCGCAAGAGGGAGTATCTGGGCAAAGTTGGCAAGAACAAGGTGTCAGCCAGCACCAGGTGTTCGGCCTTGAGCCTCACTCGACCTCCTAGTCACATGAGCCCTAGACACAGAAACTGTCAGGTATGCTTAGCAAGTCATCCTAACTGCAGCATGTACCCTTAATTGGGACTGGACCGGGCAAAGCAGAGTAGGAGAGGTGATAGGTCAATAATGCTAAATTTTATGTGATTGTGGTGAAGGCAGATAGATAGGGAAAGACCTTGGACAATGAAAACAGGTCAGCAAAAGTTCTGGGAGGGAAATTCCAAGGCTGATCCACTTTGTGAATATGAATAAGACCTTAAACAGTGGACCCTGAAGAGATTGGACCCCTCCCCATGAAGGAGATTCCTTGAATTCCCTCGGACCTCTCCCTTAATTTGTTTAACTTTAGTGATTCAGCCCAAAGAAGACCATCAACACTCCCAAACTCCCTGGTAACATCCTTAGCAACGGACTTTTACCTGGGAAGAAGCCCCACATGCGGGCAGGTTGGAGAAACCCTATAAAGACCACCTTGAACAAAGGAAGAGTGCGCATATACTGCCTGAGCCCATGTGCTGCTTGAGCCCACGTGGCCAAGCACATGTGGTACCCGAGCACATGTGTTGCCCACATCTCCCCTCTTGAGATGTGCACTTTCATGCTTTCGTGTCTAATGCTGGGATGTGTGCAGGGACTCTCTCCGCCCTTGGAGAAGCCCATGTTCTCTTGAGTGCATTACTCTCTCTCTCTCTCCTTCTCTCTCTTCCCCTCCACACCTTCAAAACACCTCCAAATAAAATCTGTTTTACTTCACTGTTTGTCTACTCCTGAAATTCCTTTTTTGCGAGCAAGAACCCAGTAACCCTGGGTCCTGGGGCGGAGGGGGGGGTCGGGAAAAAGTGACTGTTTCTGCCCTCCTCCCCACTTATGTGAGCCACCTGTGGGGGCCACCGACATCAATTGGACCTACCTGTAAGCCAAGACCCTCTATAAAACATGTGTCTATCTGGTATTAAGGTGAACAGCCATTGGCTGCTCTCAGAGGGTGTTTCTCCGAGAGCCCGTCATCCTTTGTCCCATGTCTGCCTGGACCTGGTGCTCAATGTGTCCGGGCAGGCTGGGGAAAAACTATTCCCCAACAGAGCAGTACCCTCCCAAAATAATAAATGGGAAAGTAGGGGCCGGAGCGATAGTACAGCGGGTAGGGCATTTGCCTTGCATGAGGCTGACCCAGGTTCAATCCCCGGCATCCCATATGTTCCCCCAAGCACCACCAGGAGTGATTCCTGAGTACAGAGCCAGAAGGAACCCCTGTGCATCACCGGGTGGGTGTGACCCAAAAAGCAAAAAAAAAAAAAAACAAAAAAACAAAAAAACCCAACAGCAAACAAACAAAAAAGGGAAATTACATTGATTTAGGGATTGCATAGGATTGTAGTTAATCTTATTCAGTAGTTCTTAGAGGCTGTTGATGGGATTTTTATCTTTCTGGTTCAATCTGGATCAAGGAGGGGCTGGCTGAGAAGTGGGTGGGCAGTTCGAATTTGGCTGGGCTGGTCTCCTGCACTCAGCGCTGCAGGCGGCTGGTGGCAGGACAGGAGGACATGGTGGAGGCCAGGTGAGTCCTTCTGGGGCCATGTGGCAGAGGGGAGAGTGCCCCAGGGAAGCATCTGTGCACTCAGCCAAGTTTATCTTGGGTGCCAGGATCCTTGCAGGAATCAAGGGACACAGCAGGGACGCTCTGGCCACACTGGGACACGTGCTGGGTGCCAGGGATGCAGCAGAGCTGGGCCGGCTGCAGAGAGAGGGTTCTTCCTACCTCACCCATCCCAGCACCAGCCTCCACTAGAGGGTTCTGTAATCCCACTGGCCACAAGGGCGAGTGCACTGGGGTGCTCGTAGAAATTCGGGGACTCTGGGCGTGTGGTGTATGTTTCCTAGGGACCCCTCCAGGTTCTTGGTATCTCAAACAAAAAATGTGAGGGACATGAGAGAGTGAAGTCAAAGGTTGGAGTGAGGGTACAACAGAGTGTTTGCCCTGCTTCAGGCCAGGCAGGGTTCAGTCCGAGAGTACTGCCCATAGTCACTCTTCATTTGTCTTGTTTTGGGTCACGGCCAGGTGAAGCCCAGGGCCTCTCTCCACCCCCTTTTCGGGTGGGGGTGGGTGTTTGTTTCTGTGTTTGGCCACACTCAGGCGGTGCCCAGGGCTCACCTGGCTGAGCTTACGGAGAGAAGAGCGCCTGGCGGAGTGCGGGGGTGGGGGGGCCGTGGGCTCCCGCTCCAGCCGCAGTAGGGGGCACTGGGATTGGAGGACCCCGCTCCGACGACCTCCTCTGCTTCCCTCAAGCCATGGCTGAGCACTTTAAGGAGGCGATCACGTGTGGCGGCTGCCGGGAGGATCTGGAGCGGCCGCTGCTGTTCAAGTGCGGCTACGTGTGCTGCATCCACTGCCTGCGTGCTGAGCAGAACGAGGCCGGCGGCGCCTTCCAGTGCCCGGGCTGCGCGCAAGTGTCGCTGCCGCACGAGGTCGTGCCCTACTGCCAGCTGGACGGGCTGGTGGGAGCCATCCGGAACCTGCAGCCGCAGCTGGGGAGCCTGCTGCTCATGAACCCATGCGTGAGCAAGTTTTACGGTAAGGCATCTCGCGTTCTCGCTTCTTGATTTGTCGAGCTGGGGGCCACAGTGGCTGCGCTCAGGGGTTACTCCTGTGTGTGGTGCAGGGCCAGCGCCTGGCCCGTGTCCTTTGCCCTCCCGCCCTTTCCTTTTAAACGGTTCTCTGGGGATGCGCCAAGGGCAGGGCTTGCTCTGCGTGCGGGAGCTGCCAAGTGCAGCTTCTATCACCCGAGTACTGCCGGGAACAGCGCTGAGATGACCAAATGTGGCCCCGAAACAGAGTTTCCTAAGAGAACGTTAGAGTACAGGCCTAGCAGACCGAAGCCATGCTTCATGCAAGGGTCCGGGCCCAAACCCTGGCACTGCACGGACTCCTGAGCACTGAGGCAGAAGCTGTCCTTGGCGCCACTGGGTGTGGTCCCCTACAGACACAATGAAGATTGGGGCTTGTGAGGCACAGGGGGTAAGGACAGGCATGCAGTGCCCCTGCTCTGTCACCTCCCACGATGGGTCCCACATCCTGAACTAGCAGAATCACCCTGGGACTCCCAAAACATGGTGGCTGTTTCCTGGGCAGCCTGACACACGCACAGCCTAAGCATACCCAGACCTGAGCCTGTCCCTCAGTCCTGACTCCCTCCACAGCACAAACATCTGCTGGCGCGGGTCTGGTAGCGCAGGGAGCCCTTGGCCTAGGCAAGTTCACTCTCGTGCATCCGAGTCAACAGCTGTGTACTCTGTTGTCTCACACTTGAGGGCAGGTAAACTGCTTTAGCCATCAAACAAAATCATGGTGTGCTCCGCAAAAGCACCACTTACTGTGTCCAGAGCCCATACTACTCCCAGTGGTGTCCACGTGTCAGAATAGTCTTTACCAAGAGAAAACCTGTGTGATTACAGGAGCCTCACCTTAATACCCTCTAAAACTCCGTGTAACCCTAAAAGCCTGCTTTTGGGTGTAGCAGAATCCCAGGAGTAAGTGGTAGGAACGGGGGCATCGCCACGGGGTCTCATTCCCATCCCCTTCCTGTCACTTCTGCAGTGGATGTGACCCTGGATGCCTCCATGGCTGACCCCAGCCTCTTTATTTCTGAAGATCTGAAGACGGTCCGCTGCCGCTCTCTCAGACAGAAGAACAGGAGCAGCTCAGAGGGCCTGAAGCATCACTTCTCCGTCCTGGGTTTCCCGGCCTTCAGCTCCGGCCGCCATTACTGGGCGGTGGATGTGGGCAGCAGCGTGGGCTGGGAGGTGGGGGTGTGCCAGGAATCGGCCTGGCTGAGAGCAAGAACCATGCGTTCCACCCGGGCCGGATTCTGGACCGTGGGCCGGCGGGCTGGGCAGTACCAGGCCTGCTCACTGTCTCCCAAAGAGCTCTTTGTGAACTCTGGGTTGCACCTAATTGGGGTCTTCCTGGAGATAGAGTTCCGTAGTATTTCTTTTTTCAACCTAAGCAACAAATACCACATTTTCACATTCACTGAGATGCCCGTGGGTGAAGTGGTGCGCCCGTTCTTTGCACTGGCCAATGAGACGCGGGATCCCAACAATGTCCTGAGAATCTGCCCGAAGCCTGGACCAGGCACACTGGGTCTTGCTGAGGCAGCAGCCGGCCTGGGAAGCTGATCTGGTGACAATGACCCGGGCATCAGAGCCATAGGAGAACTATCCTTGCTTGTACGTGAACGCATGTGAGTTTATCAGGAAATAAAATGTGGGTTTAACACCATACACGAGTTATTGTTCTGTATACTATAGAAGTGAGCCCTCTGGCCATATATATTTTTCAGGTGCACATGGCTGAAATGTACTTGCCTATCAGAACATGTTAAGCATTTTCCAGTAACATAAGCATTTTTTTTTTTTTGAGGAGGAATGGCCACTCCCAGCAATGCTCAGGGGTTACTCCTGGCTCTGCACTCAGGAATCATTCCTAGCAGTGGCTGGGGAACCATGTGGGATGCCAGGGATCAAACCCCAGATAGCTGCATGTGAGGAAAGTGCCCTCCCCGCTGTGCTCTCACTCCAGCCCCAAGCATGTTTTTCTGATTGCAAAAGGAATAGCATCCAAGGGTTCAAGTGATAGTGCAGCGAGCAGCTTAAGTGCCAGCCTTGCACACAGCCAATCCAGGTTTGATCCCCAGCACCCCATATAGTCCCCTGAGCTTGCCAGGAGTGATCCCTGAGTACAGGGCCAGGAGAAAATCCTGAGCAGTCTGGGGTGTGGCAACAAAACAAAAAAAATATGAATGTGTCAGATGTGTTTTGGGGGGCTGAGGGAAAAGTAAGGCTCTAAGATGGAATTCAAAAGAACCAAGGTTTTAAGAAGCCATAGGCACACTCCAAGAACTTCTCTGGAGTTGCTGAGAAAGTAACAGACACAGAAGGAGAAGCAGCCAGTCAACCACATTGATGCCTGGACCTCGGTGGTTAGAGGCAGAGGGGAACCAGGCACTAGGAAGAGGATCCAGGTGGAGCCAACACCCTGGGGAGCACACCAGCTCAGCCCTTCTAAAAGGATGAAAACAGATTCTGTGTTTCTGGGTGGTTTTGTTTGTTTTGTTTTGGCTCAGAGCTTATTCCTGTTTCTGCACTAAGGGATCACTCCTGGCAGGGGTGGAGGGACCAGGTGGGATGTCAGGGATTGAGCCCGGGTAGGCCACATGCAAAGCAAGTACCCTGAGACTCCAGATCCCAACTGCCGTACTATTACTCCAGCCCCCCCATATTTCTATTTTCAAGAACCCCTTGATAGAATCACTGGATTTACAACTTGTATGATGCAACATCCGGGTCAGTGAATGTCATTCTATATCATTCTATCAGTTTCGGAGCCTTTTCAGGCTTCCGCTCTGCTGCAGACACTCCCGCACACCGGTCTCTGTCCCTTCCACCAGCCAATCCAGCTGTGTCCCCTCTGTAGCCTCCTGCTAAGCCCCATTCTGCTCTTAGGATCCAGAGAGTTTTGTTTGTGATTTTGGGGTCACCTGGCAATGCTCAGGGGTTGCTCCTGGCTCTGCCTCAGGAATTATGCCCTGATGCTTGGAACCATATGGGATACTGGGGATCAAACCCGGTCAGCCTGAGCAAGGAAAACACCTTCCCTGCTGTACTCTTGCTGTGGCCTCAGGTTTTTATTTTGTTCATCCCTTTGCTTCTCTGTGCTATGAAGGTGACATCTTACAGCATTTGACATGCTGGGCACCTCTCAGGGAGGGCAGGATTCCAGCTGCCTGTCAAGGAATCAGTGGGCTACCCGAGGGCATGAGATCTGCTGTGTCTCTTGCATGGGCGTGGAGCACAGGCATCTGTGTGGCTTCCAGTTAATGTTTTCATCCTGGATGGTGGCCCAGAATTGGGGGCAGCTGGAGCATTAGGAATCTCTAGGGGCTGGAGCAATAGTGCAGTGGCATCCCATATGGTCTTCCAAGTAATTTCTGAATACAGAGCCAGGAGTAAACCCTGAGCACCAGCGGATGTGCCCCCAACAAACAAAAATAGCATTTTCTCCTGTCACACCTAATATACTCTGAAGGTAATCAGCCAGGCCTGCCCACTCATTCCTGGTTGGTCAGTGCTTTGAGCTTTAGACCCCTGAGTCCAGAGGACCACAGATCTCAAGGTGCTTGTCTGGCCACAGCAAAGACACAGATCCCAGCACTGCCTGGTCTGACCTCTGAGCCCAGAGCTGGAAGCGATCCCTACACTCAGAGCCAGATATGGACCCTGAGCATCACTCTCCCCCCCCAAAAAAATACCCCATTAAAATCATGTTTTTAGGGGTGCGAAGTGTTAGTATAGTGGGTAAGGAAGGTGCTTGCCTTGCATGTGGCTCACCCAGATTTGATCCCATTTGGATTCCCCAGTCTGCCAGAATGGTTCCTGAAGACATTTCTTTTGCTCTTTATTGAATTCTCTTAAGAATGAAAACAAAAACAAAAAACAACACAGGGCCAAGCGGGGCAGAGGAAAATGAAGGCAAAGCCCATGCAGGAATTTGGAGATCCAAGCGGGGCTGAGAGGACTGTCATGTGTGAAGTTGTGCCCACAGCTCTTAGCTTCTGGAAGCCACCTTCCCCCAGGGCAGGGACAAGCACACCTGCAGGGCGGGTGGAATGCCTAGAAGCTGGCCTCTCCTAGCTCACCAGCACCATCTGGCCTCAGGGTCACTGGAATCCCACCAGCACTGGATCTTCAGAGCCGAGCCCCTGCTCTGCAGCGCCTTCAGCTCTTTCTCCACCTCCAGGAGCAAGTGTCTGTCCAGTCTGCAGGGACAGAGGGGCGAGGGACACAGTGGTCACGCAGCCTAGCTCCAGCCTCCCCCAGGGGCACGGAGCAGGTGCTGCAGAGCCCCTTTCCCCAGAGCAGGGGCAGGGGGTGAATGCTCAGGAGTGGGCGGCTCAGTCAGCACTGGCCCCAACTCATCTGTGCGTTCTGATGAGCTAGGAAGAGCTCCTGAAAAGTAGTCTTAACATTTTTTAATTGAGTTTTTTAAGTTGGAGAGCTCATATAACAGGTAGGGCGCTTGCCTTGTATACAGCTTATCTGGGTTCGGTCCCTGGCACCCACTAGGGTCCTCAGAGTGCAGTTGGTCACACTCTTGATAAACTTATTTTTGGCCACACCTGGTGTTGCTCAGGCATTGCTCTTGCCTCTCTGCTCAGGATGACTCCTGGCACGCTCAGGGGTGATATGGGGTTCTGGGGATCAAACCTGGGTCACCACATGCAAGGCAAATGCCCTATCTGATGCACGATTTCTTTGGCTCTGATGATGAATGCTAATGTTTCTGGAATGTTCTCATCTGCCAGCATTGCTCTAGGAAATGGGAAACTGGGTCACCCAGACTCAGGCTTTGCCACCCATTGCAAACGCAGATTACCCCAGTGGGGTTGGACATAGATTACCCGAGCAAGCGGAGTGGGCACTGGGAGGACTTCACAGCTTTCCAGAGCATGCTGACCCCCTGGAGCTGCAAGTCATTTCCCAGGAGGTTCAGGCTGACCAGGCTCCTGCTGCTCCTGAGCAGATGGCTGAGGTGCTCACTGCTGGCAGCTGTCAGCTGGCATTTCTGTAACCTGGGGCCAGGGAGAGAGTATGAAGGATGTCCTTGGAAATGGAGAAACTAGAGAGAAAACGATTCCAAACTACAGAGGAAGTATGTGACTGTGAAGGCCTGACAGGAAGATACCCGATATTCCTGCTCATACTTAGAAAGTTTATGCCACTGGACCAGAGCGATAGTACAGTGGGGAGGGCGTTTGCCTTGCACACAGTTGACACGGGTTTGATCCCTGGCATTCCATACAGTACCCTGAGCACTGCCAGGAGTAACCCCTGAACATCTCTAAACAAAAAGCCAAAAAAAAAAATAAAGAGGTTCACACCATACCCCACCATGCCCAAATGGAGGGTATTTTCCAACATGTGAAACTTCTTTTTAAAATTTGTGCTTTTTGAGGGGTTCGGTGCTGTGCAGCAGGTCAACCTGTACATGTGGGGCGAGTGCATCAGCAGCCTGATGGTGCCTTCAGGCTTCCTGATACCCCAAAATTGCCACTGTGCCTTTGGCTGTCCCCAACCAAAAATTGAGAAAAGTCCAAAAGTTAGGTATGCAGGAGCTACACCCACAAACCATTTCAGGCTCATCTATAAAAGCTCAATAAACTATAGCATCTGCCTAAGGGGCAGGATGGGGTGGTGGTGGGAAGATTCAAAGTAACTGATGGGAAGGTGCAATGGTGGTGGGATTGGTGTTGGAACACTGAATGCCTGAAACAGCTGTATTATGAACAGTTTTGTAACTCAGGATGTTGAAATAAAAAAAATATTCTTTTTTGCACATGGCTGACCTTAGTTCCACCCCAGGCATCCTGCATGGTCCCCGAAGCATCACCAGGGGTGATTCCTGAGTGCAGAACCAGGAGTAACCCCAGAGGGAATGACCAAAAAACAAAAAAAATTTTTGTTTTCCTTTCCTTTTTGGTGGGAGGTTTGGGGTCCTACTGGCAGCGCTCAGAGTTCACTCCTGGTGGAACTTTGGGACCTGATGTGTACAGGACAGGGTTTGTACAGGCAGAGGCAGGTATGGGTGGGGCATGTGGGCAGAGCTGGTCTGTCCTTCCCACTGGCCCTGCCAGCTAGAGGAGATGGTGTTTTGTGGGTAGACGGGACTCACCCCAGTGTAGTCAAGGTGCAGGTGCCTGACGCCAGCGCCTGGCTCAGGACTTCCATGCCACCATCCCCAATCTCGTTCTCGCCCACATCCAGCACCTGCAGACTGCGGTTGTCCCTGAGGGCAGCAGCCAGTGCCCCACAGCCGGGGGTCGAGAAGGAGCAAGCCGACAGGCTGTGAGAGAGGCATGAGGAGACCTTGGGGCCCCTCCCCATTCTGTTCCCCATCCACCTGCGCCCCTCCCGATCTTGCAGACACTCACTCTAGCCGCTGCAACCTGCAGTGAGGCCCGCGCAGAGCTGGGCACAGGTCCTTCACACCCTTATTCCCCAGGTGGTTCTTCCGCAGGTTCAGGCCGGTCAGCGCCCAGGTCTGCAGGAGTGCGCGGGACAGGTACCGGCAGCTGGGAGCACCCAGCTGGCAAAACCAGAGTCTGGTGGTCAGAAAGGCACATGGTGTTCAGGGAGGATCCTGGCCAGCAGGCCCCAGCCCCTTTGGCAAGCCCACCCAGACAGTCTGGAACCTGCTGCCACACCATTCCCTGAGGTTCCGTGGGCCTGTCCCACCCACATCAACCGGGCACACTCCATCCACACTCAAGCCACACACCTGGTCCCCACTCGGGCCACACACACCCCGCCCACACTTGGGCCATGCACACCCCGTCCACCGCACACTTGTTCACTTGCACTCCCTGCAGATTTTATGCCAAGTCTTTTTTGGTTTAGTTTCTAGTTTTGGGTGACACCCAGCAATTTTCAGGTGTTACTCTTGGCTCAACTCAGGGTTCTCTCCTGGTGGTGCTGGGAAACTCTCTGAGATGCGGGGACTCTAGTCCAGGTCACCGCATGCTAGGCAAACACCTTAACCTGCTGTCTTTCCAGCCCTAGGACAAATCTTTGCAATAAGGTGATGGTTGAATTTTTTTTAAGTGCCCAGACAAGTGAAATAAGCAGAATGTAGAAGCCACCCACATGCCAAGCGAGAGGAATGGAGATGTGTGTCCACGCACAGGGACACTGTGTGGCCATAAGACAAGATAGACTTATTCAGTGTATGGCAGTGTGAGTAGGGTAGGGGGAGCATGCTGAGTGAAGAGGGAGGGAATATACCAGCTGTTCTCATGTATCTGGGGTGTTCAGAGAGGCAAGGTGTTGGGCCAGGGCTGGAGAACACAGTGGGTAGGGTTTTTCCTGACATACAGTTGGCCCGGGTTAGATCCCTGGCATCCCATATGGTCATCTGAGCCCACCAGGAGTGATTCCTGAGTGCAAAGCCAGGACTAATAATTGAGCATCACCTGGGTGCCCCCCCCTCCAAAAAAAAGGGTGTGAACAATACAGAGAATAATGATCTGGACTTGGGACTCCAGACCCAAGAGTGCCAGGGAGGAGTTGGGGAAGGCACACTGAAACAAGAGTGGGCCAATAGCTGGGAAGACAGGGAGTAAGATCAGACCGAAGGCACACGGGGCTGGAATGATAGCACAGTGGGTAGGGTGTTTGCCTTGCACGCGACCGACCCAGGTTCGATTCCCAGCATCCTATATGGTCCCTGAGCACTGCCAGGGAATAATTCCTGAGTGCATGAGCTGAGTGCATGAGCCAGGAGTAACCCTTGAGCATCGCCAGGTGTGACTCAAAAAAACACCAAAAAACCGAAGGTACACGGGGATGGGGTGAGGGTCGTAGTGTATCAATGGCAGGGCTGGGTAGTACATTTGTCCATCAATCCCAGAAACTGGGACACTCCTATGGACTTAAACTATAATAAAGCGAAAAAGAAGCCTTGGACTCAGCCTCCCCACACTGCTGAGTCGCGTGGGGATGGCCATGCCGTGTGAGTGCCATGTCTGGGACCCTGGGGGCTCAGTGGGAGGGACATACTCCAGCCTCTGCAGGGCACAGTCGGGGAGCAACAGGGAGGCACACAGCAGCTGCACACCATGGTCTCGGAGTGGGTTGAACCCCAGGCACAGGTGCGTGGTCTTCTGGGCGCTGATGAGGAGCGCGGCCAGGCCCTGGTAGGTGTCTGAAGACAGGTTGCATTTCTCCAGACTGCGGGAGGTTCAGAGAATGCCTGTCGGCCTCCCTGGGACCCAGGTGGGTGGGAAGCAGAGAGCCCACGCTTCTGACCTGAGGACTATGCCACACTCAAGTGTGAGGGCAGCAAGTTCAACCCTTAGGGTCTCCTGCGTGCCAAGCCCAGGCTTGACTGCAGAGACCAGGTCCTCAGTGCATGGGCAGTTCTTGCCCCCCTGCCCCCACAGCCAGGTGGTGCAGTCCTCAGCGCCATAGCAGTAGATGAGAAGGGGGATCCTTGGCATTGCTGCTGGGGTTCAGGGGAGTATATAGAGTGCTGGGGATGGAATCTAGGTTGGCTGCGTGTGAGGCAAGTGCCCTACCCACTGTACTACCTCTCTGGCCCCAGGAAACTCCTAAAAAGTAACTCTTGGAGGAAAAAAAGCATGGAGGTTCAGCTGTACATCAGGAACCTCCCTGCCTCACACCCCAACCCCACCCCTCCAGCCTGTCACAGGGCACTGGGACCACGGGATCTCACCAGAGCTTCCTCAGGGGGTGCTGCAGGGGACACAGGATGTCCTTGGGGGGTGCTGGTGGAGCTGTGTTCTGCAGGGGGGCCAGGTCATTGTCCCCCAGGCTGAGGAAGGTCAGGCTCGTGTTTTGGCCCAGGGCCAGGAAAAGTTTCCTGCAGGCAGGTGCTGGGAGATGGCAGGACTCCAGCCTGGGGGACAAGGCAGTGACACCTGCAGCTTCACCACCCTGACCCCCAGGTCAACGTCTTCTGGAGGGGTCCCCCTGAAGATCCCCGGGGCACACCTGCAGACCCCCCACACTCACCGCAGAGACCGGAGCTGGCAGGCAGGGTGCCGCAGGGTCTTAAAGATGACAGTGGACACAATGACCCCTAGGTCGTTGGCACTCAGGTCGAGGTGTGTGAGCCTGCTGTTGCCATGAAGGACCGCAGGCAGCTCCTGCAGCACCCGCCGTGGCTCCACAGAGCGGCACCTGCCGGGCAGCAGTGGGTGGACTGGAGAATCCATCCCTGCCCTGCCCCTAAACTTACCTGCAGCCAGGCACATGTTTGCATACTCACCACATAGTCACCCCAGGACCAGAGGATGAAAAGCTCTACTAGGAGCCAGAGGCAGGGCACTGAGCCTGGAAGTGGGAATCTAAACTGGAGACCAAGAGTTCCTGACTGCATGCTGGTCTGTAGCCCGAGTCTACCTCTCCTTCCGTGCCCATCCCCCATGCCCACCTGTCAGTAAGGACTCACCTGCCCAGCTATCGAAGGGGCTCTGGGATCCCCCATTTCCAAGGAGGTAACACCCCTACACACACACACACACACACACACACACACACACACACTCGATTCTCAGAGGCTTGAGGAGAGCAACTCTCTTGAAAATGGTTCTCCTTACCCTGAGGAGTAAACTGAGGGAAGAGGGGAGACGGAGAAGGGAAGGGAAAGGGGTTGTGGGAGAGGGAACTAAAGGAGAGAGAGGAAAGAGAGGAGGAGCAGAGGGAAGGAGGGGTGCAGGGAAGGAAGGAGCAAGAAAGGGAGGAAGGGAGAGGCAGAGCAGGTAGAAGAGGGGTTCTGGGTGGAGCAGGGGGGATGAGGGGTCAGAGGAGGGGGTGTGTAAAGAAGGTTGTCAGCTGCTCCCCTGTTGATCTCTGGACGACCCTCACTGTCTGCTTCCCTCTCTGTCCACTGCCTCATCTGATCCTGGACTGTGAACAGTGACAGACTGAATCAGTCATCTGGATACCAGAGCACCTAGCCAAGGCCACCAGAGTTAGGCTCTGAGCCACCGGGGCTCACTGGACTCGGCCAGGGACACCTGTGCCCGTGCAGCTGAGGGCCGTGCTCACGTCAGCTGTCGGAGCTTGCACCGCGGGTTCCGCAGTTCTCTGCAGAGTTTCCTCATCATCAGAATGTTGAGGGTGCTGTTACTCAGGTCCAGCGCGTGCACGTTGCCATAGCTGAACACAGAGCAGATGTCCTGCCACTGACGTATCTTGGAAGAAGCCACCTTTCCCCTGGGGAGAGAGAGGAGGCCTGGAGCTGCCCCAATTGCCCTCAGCATCACTGGGGCCCCGGGAGGTGGGAACAGCCAATGCCTGTAGGGCAGCTGTGCCTGGGGGAGCCCAGAGGACACAATTCTTGGCACTCGGACATCTTCATCCGCATCCTCCTGCCCAGCTCTCCTCAGAGGGAAGCGGGAGTGTGAGTAGCTGGCCAGACACTCCCTGTCCCTGCCCCACTGCAGAAACCAGTGTTGACATGGCCCGAGCGCAGCATACAGCTGTCACAAGGCCTCCAGCACAGGGCGAGAGAGCGGGAGAGGCTGTGGGTCAAGGTGCTCATCGCAAACACAGCTGATCCCTGATTCAGACCCTGAGCCCTTCCAGGAGTGATCCCTGAACAGCACCAGGTATGACCTAACCACCCCGTTCCCCACAAAATTGTCTTGGGCAGAGACATAGTGCAGGGGTTAAGGTTCTTGTTTCAAATGTGGCTGACCCTGGTTTGCTTCGACACTGTCAATGGTCTTTGTAATGGCAACAGATGTGACACAGCAATATTGTGGTACCCCAACTCCCCCAAATACACACACACACACACACACACACACACACACACACACCAAGTACTGCTGGAGTCTTCTTCCAGGACTAAATGGAACCAAGTCATCAGAACAAGCTTGAAGATATCATTGTCACCGCTAACCCTACCAACGGATGGATTTGGAGCTGCACTCAAGATCTAGCACTGGGCCTGGAGGGACAGGACAGTGGGGAGGGCGCTTGCCTTGCACACGGCCAATCCAGTCTCCATCTCTGGCACCCCATTGGGTCCCCAGAGCACAGCCAGGAGTAACTCCTAAGCATTGCCAGGTGAGACCTCAGAACAAAACAAAGATCCAGAACTCTGGGGACTGGACGGGAGGCAGTACAGGAGATAAGGCGCTTGCCTGTGGCAGTTGCCAGCAGACCCACGGATTCAAATCCCTGTACCACTTGTGCCCCTAGGCATGGCCAAGGGTCACTCCTGAGCACAGAGTTGAGAACAACCCCTGAGTCCTGCTGATAGGACACAGACCCCAAACTGGCAAAATTTCTGGAAGCCTTAAAGGGCGGAGCTCTGCGGGAGGCGGGCTGGCCGCAGAGGCACACTGTTGGCATGAGGGCTCACTTCTCTTTCCATTTCCTCCCCAAGGAATAGCAGGAGGTTCCTCTTGCTTCTCTCCTGGCAGAACTTTGGGCATTGGCCTGGCACACAGGCCTTGTTCATGTGTGCCGGAGAAGGGAGAGCCCCTCTACCAAAGTGCCAGGGAAGCTGCCAAAGGGAACGTGCAGACAGACTGGCACGTTTGGTCAACCTGGAAGGACCTAGCACCTCTGATCCCCACAGTGTGCCATGCGTGCACAGAGGACCCTGGGACGGATATGCAGATGGGGTAGCGGGAGGGAAGGACGATCTGGACTCACTCCGGGGTCTTCCCACCAGAAGCTACTTCCGTGGCTGGGAGGAGGCCAGAGAGGGAGAGCCGCAACTTTTGCAAGTTTCGGCAATTCCGCAGGCAGAATGCAGCATCTCGGAGCTGCCAGTTCCCACACACATCCACGTGGGCTTCCCGGAGGTGACTCAGAACCTGCTGCACCGTGCTGGCCTCCTGCACCTCGTGCAGACACTGGAAGAGGAGCACGTGCCCCACAGGGATCAGCGGCAGTGTCTCCAGCCCCTCGGCCCACTCCAGTAACTGGTCCAAGGTGGTGGCAGAAGCCATGGAAGCCGGCAGTATGCCCTCCAGCTCCCTTGCCACATCTCTGTGCAGAAGGCCGAAGAAGAAAATGACCATCTGCTCCCAGTGGGTGGCTCTATCAGCCAGCGCCGCGCTGAGGAACATGTGCAGCTCCTGAGGCTTTGTGAGCCCACCCAGGCAGCCAAGTGCCCCCCTGAGCATATAGAACAGGGCCCCAAAGAATGCCTGGAAACTCGGGTGGATGAAGGTCACGCAGTCCTTACAGCTGGCCACTGTCTGGAGGATGTTCAGCCTGAGCAGGGCTTGGATGAAGGGCGCTGTCAGGGCCCCGCTGCCCTCCATCTGCTTCGGGAATGTGCCCGTTGACTGCCACATCCCCTTGGCGGCAAGCCGGCACAGGGCACCCCATTGCTCATGTATCCCCACACCCTGCAGGCCTGGCTCTGCGGAGATCAGGCTGGAGAAGAAGCCGGCATACAGTGCGGTGGGGCTCTGGGCCCTCAACTGGAAGCTGGGGTTTGCTGCACGCTGCTGCTTGAGGCAGGTGCCCACCACCCAACACATCAGTGGGGCGCAGCAAGCAGGAAGCCACGTTCCCGTGGCTCGCAGCCACTGCATGGTTTCCCTGGCCATGTCCTGGTCCCCAAAGAATCTAAGGAAATACTCCTCCTGGTCGTCCTCGGAGAAGCCGCGGAGGGTGACGAAGCTCGGCTGCCGTAGCAGGCGATATAGAGCTGGGCGCCTTTGAGCCCTGCTCGTGACCAGGAGGGTGGCCGTGGGCAGGGCCTTTCTCTTCAGCAAGCTGAGGAGCACCTGGGTGGCTGGCAGTCTCTGGAACCAGTCTGCAGCGGGTGGGCTCTCAGCCTCTCTGCGGGGCACCTGCAGCTCCTCAATCCCATCAACAATAAATAGCAGCTGCCAGGGGTGGCTCAGAAATTTCTGCATCAGGAACCGGGGATCAGATGACCAGTGGAGGGAGAGCAGGTCGGCCAGGCAGGTGTCCCCCATCTCGTTCACCTGGTGGCAGCTGATGTAGGAGACGAAGGAGAAGTAGTGATGGAACAGCATGCCCTCTGCCCAGTGCAGTGCCAACTTGGCCGCCACTGTGGTTTTGCCCACCCCTGCACTGCCCTCCAGGACGACCGTGAGGGGCCTCACGTCAGCCCCATGAGGGCACAGGACACGCTCCAGCTCTTGGTGCTCCAGTGTGGTCACGTGGAGGAGATGTATATGGTCCTCGGGCCAGGGTACATGGGCCCACATGCGTAGTATGTTTGCCTTCATCCTCTCTCGGTAGCACCGCCAGTGGGCTGGAATGGAAGGGAGAGTGGTCAGCAGAAGTCCAGCACTGAGAAAGGTCCTAGGAAGCCCCCATGGAAGTTGTCCCCGAGATGGGCCAGCGCTGCTGCAGACATCTTTCTATGGGTAGGGCAGACATGGGCTGATAGGGTGGTAAAAGGCAAAGAGCTGAGGGCTGGCACGACCGTACAGGGGGAGGGCATTGCCTGCCATACAGTTGAGCCAGGCTCGAGCCCCATATGGTTCCCTGGGCCCCAACAGGAGTGATCCCTGAGCACAGAAAAGCCAGGAGTAAGCCCTGAGCACCACAGGGTATGGCCCAATTCCTTCCCTAAAAGGTAGAGTTGGGTGGACACAAATATAAAGACCCCGATGGAGTAAGAGAGATCACACTGCTGTCAGGAGAGGCAAGATCAGTAACAGCTTCTGCCTGACTTCACGATGTCATTGAGGAGTGGACTGCGTCAGGGCCAAGGGGAACTCTGTGCACAGGGGTTACTTCTGGCTCTGCCTTCAGGATGGTGCTTATGAGACCATAGGGGATGCCAGGGACCTAGCCCAGGTAGGCCAACCCACTGTACTATAGCTCTGGCCCCAGATCATTCATTACAGTATTTAAATTGTCCCAATGCCTCGGGGGATGAGTTTTGCCTACTGACGGCACCCTTACAGAGAAGATGCAGCGATTTCTCCAAACATGTATCAATCACAGGTACTTTATCACAGGAGCTGGTGATTTTGTTATAATGGATATGTGGAAGGTGGGATCAAAAAAAAAATTAAGACCCCCTAATTGGTCATTTATATAGGTGATCTGATTGGTGGTTTGTAACCAATCAGATTGTCCGGGTTTCAATGCTTATTTACATAAATCTTAGCCAATCAGAAAACAATACTAGCTAAGGGGCGGGGATATGTAAAGTATATAAGTACAGGTTTGGGGCTACAGCCCAGCGGCTGTGGCTAAGAGCTGTCTCACCAATGACATCTAGTGGTCGCATGCTGTTCGGAGTCATGGTCCACAAGAACCCAGAAGCTCACAACTCTGCTGTGACAACCCCACCCCTGAAATATTACCCAGAGGATCAAAACATGTCTGGACGGGCAGAAGCTCCGTGGGGTTTATTGTATTATTACTTACAGCAGCCAAGAGTTGGGCGTCAGGTGTTTGTGGACCAGACTGTGTGTCTGTGTTGATTCATCTGCACCATGGGACTCTAGACAGCCCCAGAAAATAAAGGCCTATCACCTTCGTAAGAATGGGGGGCGGCATATACTACCTGAACTGCAAACCATAACACCCAAAAGGAGAGGGGGAGAGAGAGAGAGAGAGAGAGAGAGAGAGAGAGAGAGAGAGAGAGAGAGAGAGAGAGAGAGAGAATGTACCTGCCACAGAGGCAGGAGGGGGATAGAGTGAGGGGGTGGCAGGAGGGATACTGAGAACATTGGTGGAGAAGAATGGGCACTGATGAAGGGATGGGTATTCAGCCACTGTGTGACTGAAATGTAATCACAAAAGTGTGTAAGTCTGTAATTCTATCTCACGGTGTTTCATTAAAAATTTTTTTGGGGGTATGGTGCCGCCAGCAGGTCAATCTGTACCTGTAAGGTGAGCATATCAGCAGCCTGATGGCGCCTTCAGACTTCCAGATACTCCAAAATTGCTGCTGTGCCTTTGGCCAGACCCCAAAAACTTGGGGCAAAGTTTACCAAGGAAGTAAACGGCCAAAAGTTAGGTATGTGGGAAACACATCCACAAACCACCTCTGGCTCAGCTATATAATTGGAGGCATGGCCTCTCTGGTTCCTGATTGAACTGCTTAATGGCCATGATCCCAGAGACTCAGAAACAAATCTTGAAACCCAGCAGCTTTTGGCAGAAATGCGTCCGGTCCCTGCAGTAGGTTACTGGTGCCAGGCCAACCCAGGTGGGAATAGGTTTCGTGCCTTGGCCTGTTCCCCCTGGCGGCCCAGTGGTCGCCATCCTTCAGAGGCCACTGGACAGTCAGGTTTGGGCCCCCAGTGATGAGACACGCAGGGCCTCATGGGATGGGGGTGGAGTTGGTCCTGTCCTCCTCACCCCAATGAGACCCTGAGTCGCCGCCCACGAATGGCCTCTTTGGCTCCTGATCAAGCTGCTTAACGGCCATGATCCCAGAGACTCAGAAACAAATCTCAAAACCCAGTGGCTTTTGGCAGAAATCCCTCCAGATTTAAGTGTTAAAATTTCAGAATTTCAAAATCACATGGCCCTACTACAGCCATGCGACATCATATGTTATTCATAACCAGCAATAGAACACAAATTGCCTACTGTTGCCTTTTCAGCAGATCTGAGTGTTGGGGTAAAATCTCAAATAATAATGGTGGGCCTGGTGTCGAAATACTGAATGTGATCAAACTAGAGAGAGAGTAATGTGGAAATCATCTGCCCCACAGGTAGGGGAAGGGTGTGGGACGGGGGTATACTGGGGTTTTTGATGGTGGAGAATGGGCACTGGTGAAGGTACGGGTGTTTCATTGTATGACCGAGACTTAGACCCGAAAGCTTTGTAACTGCTCTCATGGTGATACAATAAATAAAATTATAAAAAATGAAAAAAAAGTAAGGTGGAGTTCATGCACAATTCAATCAGCTAATCAGTGGCTGAATAAATAGCAGTACTCCTACATAAAAAAAATTTTTTTTTAAAAAGAATGGGGGATCGGAGGGGATTCTGCCCCACCAGAAATGCCTGGAATTTAATGGACAGGAAGGGATCAACCAAAAGAAGCTGACAAGACTAAACAAAGGTGTCCTCATCCTCAGACTGCAAGTACAAAGGGTGGTTCACAGAGGGAAGGTGGAGGGTTGAGTGAGGGAGATGAAGGATGACCCCTGCCCCCAAAAAACACAAACCACTGAGGCCAGGGTGATAGTACAGCGATAAGGTGCTTACCTTCCTCAAAGACAACCCAGGTTCCATCCCCAGCATCTCATATGGTCTCCTGAGACCTCCAGGAGTGATCGCTGAGTGCAGAGCCAGGAGGAACCCCTGAGTATAGTCAGGTGTGGCCCAAACCAGAAAACAACAACAACATCAAAAATCTACCTCAGCTTGTTCCATGATGGTGTTTTACAACTAACACAACAGCAGGTGCTGAGCTCTGAGGACAAACATCCATGTGGAAGCACACCTCTGAGCACCCCCAGAGATGGACCCCCTCCCCTCAGAAACATGAACTTCCTAGGGAGGCGCCTCCAAACCTTTTTCTTCTTCTGGCATTTCAGGGTCCTCTTGCACTATGTCTTGGTATTCTTGCAGCCCTGATGCTTCCTTCAGTGGGTCTTGAGGTTCCTGCCCCTGTGCGGGCTCTGAAATTGATGAGGTGGGATAAGGAGATGGGGAACCCTGTGTGGGGAGGTGGGGGTGGGCTGCTGGGAGGGGGAGTTCCCTAGCACTGGTTATTATTGCTCCAACAAGCTGCAGAGTCTAGAGCTACTCCTCAGGCCTGTACCCCAACTCTGGCTACTCCCCAACTCTGGCAGTTCAAGACTCTGAAAAGCCCCACTACGTGCTGAACCCAGGCTGGCCCCAGGCTGTGGGGCCCAGCTCTGCTCTCCTCCCTCCCCTGACCTCTCCCCCCAATGTTTTCTGGGGGGACCACAGGGCCCCTCACATTCCTCCTAGTCTCTGCTCCAGCATCGTTTCTCAGCAGGACCCAAGGCACACCCTCAGCTTCCCCCACACCACACTACAGAGTGCCCCTGGGGTTTAGGTGTCATGGTCCCTGCCCAGCTGTCACACACTGACCCCTAGCACATGCCACACTGGTGGCACATAACACACCCTGAAATGCCCCTGAACAGAAGCGCATGAAGCAGGTTCTGACTCCAGCCATGCTGGGCGGTTCCAGCAGCCTCTGCAGGGTAGCCCACAGAGGGAGGTTCAGCCCTGGGAGCCGAGGCCTGATGCCAGGTGCCTGTCTGCCTCTCGGCCACATCCATGAGACTCGCCCTCATGGCAGGGGGCCTAGGAGAACTCTGGGCCACAGTCTCCTGGGACACTGTGTCCTGCATCCCAGAGTCAACAGACCCGCCTGCAGAACCAGGGTCAGCTCCCAGCTCCAGGGTCTGTGGCAAAGACCCCAAGGGGAGATGTTTTAAGGGGACAGCCCAGAGTGGCTGACGCTGCCCTGGTCATGCCCCCTTTCCTGTCCCTGCATTGCAGACCTCCAGCGCTCACACAGCCCCAGGACAGATGAGCTGGCCAGAGCCCAAACTCGGTTTTGTTTTGCTTTTTGGCCACAACCAGTGGTGCTCTGGGCTCACTCTTGGCTCTGCTCAGGGACCCCATGTGGTGTCAGGGATGGAACTGGGCTCAGCCATTTGCTAGGCAGGTACCACCCCTGTTCTGTCTCTCTCAGGCTGCACCCCGCCTGCTCACCAATCACGGCTGTTCCAGCTGCCTTTCTGGGGAAGGGCAGGCTCAGGTGCTGGAAGATGGGGGCAAGCACTTCTTGCCACGTGCCCCCCGGGAAGTGCTTCAGCAGCAGGCTCACCAGCTCTGCTGTATTGCTGCCCCTCAGGGCCACCCAGGGCAGGGCTGGGGGCGGCCGCTGTAGCAACTCTGGGCACTGCAGGCGTAGCACGAGCTCCTCCAGCTGGTACTGGTCCAGACCTTCCAGAAGACACTGCAGCTGGTCCCGGGCAGTGCCCGCTGTGTCTTCAGACACCACAGGGCCACTCATCCTGGCCGGGCTTGCCACAATGCAGCTTCACTAGGATGGCACCAGTCCCTGCCTCGACTGGGACCTGGGGAAGGATAACAGAGTCAAACCGTAGGCTTGGGGTCCTCAGGGCTGTGGGTCGTGGTACTGTCGCTGCTGTTCCAACCCATGGCTGCAATAGGTGATTGACACTCTGCAAGAATTCCCAGTGGGGCCCAGACAGTACAAGGGTGAGCCCAATTGCAGGATGGCACTGGGTGAAGACACACAGCAGGAGGTGGACACTGGAAGTGGACACACAGCAGGAGGCAAGCACTTGGAAGCACTTGGTGTGGACACACAGAAGGAGGAGGATGCTGGGACTGGACACACGGCAGGAGGAGGCTGCTGGGCATGATGACACAGAAAGATGAATGGACTGGCAGAGTGGGCCCTGGGGGGGGGGGGGGGCGCTATTCCTCCTAGTGCCCACAGAACCTGTCATCCCACCATCTGGAAGTCTTGGGGTAGGACTTACAACCCACAACCAGTCCCTGAGAAAGATGAAGGAGCCACATTTTTCAGGGCTCTGGGGACAGGTTCCTATGCTTGGAGCCTAGGCACCTCCTACAGGTGAAACCAGGGGCCACGGTGGGGGGGAGGGGGAAGGGTGTTTAGTTCCTGTCCCCGCAATTGGCAGGATGACCGTACACCCAGGCCTCTCCCCACGAGCAAAGGGCTTGATGGGAGGCTGGGGCGTGTGCGTGCTGCCCAACTCACTCCCGCTCACACTGCAGGAGAGGCCTGCGTGGCCTGCGGAGTTCGAGAGTGTGTGCGGTGTCCAGATTTATCCAGCTGCACCAAAATTTCCGATACCTCGACAAAGTTACCATAGGAAAAGAAACAAGTACGCCTGCGGGACTCAGCAGGGAGAAGGGCCAGCACCCACCAGGCAAGCTGCGAGCCTCCAACCTTTCTTTCAGTCCTGCATCCTGCAAAAAAGTACCTGCCCCGCCCCTCCCGGCCAGTGATTGGCCCGGGACCCTCCAGTGGCAACTCTAATTGGGCCGGTGCTTTCAAGATCCACCTCTGATTGGTCCGTGACTCTTCACTTCTGACTGGCACCAATTTCTACCGCTAACCTGTGCTTACAATCTCTGTTTGTGATTGGCTCCCGTAACCTTAATCTCCACCTCTGATTGGTCCGAGACTCAATGTGCGCTGCCTCCATCCTAGGCGGAGATTTCGACCCAGTTTCACCTGATGACTGACCCAGGTGCCCCTGCCCTAGTCTCAGTTGCCAGAGGCAGGCAGGTGGGGACACTTTTGTTCTGGGGTGCTCAGAACTCCATGCAGTGCTGGGATGGCATCTGGAATTGCTGCAAGCAAAGCCTGCCCTTGCGACAGGCTGGTTTTGGCTGGTTGGGTTGTCTGGTTTTGTTCTCCTATTTGTAGTAAAGAGCCTCAAGCTGGGCCTGTGCGCACAGCACGTTCGGCTTCTCTCCGGGCCACGTGCCTGGACCACAGACTGGGGGTGTGCCTGGGGGGGGGGTTGGGGCCACACCTGGTGGTGCTCAGGGTTCACTCCTGACATGGGGCTTCGGGGACCATATGCAGTGCTGGGAATTGAACCCAAGTCAGCTGCATACAAGCCAAGCGCCTTAACCTCTGACACACAGTCATACTACTCTCACACTCACCCCCCCCAACACACACATTCACACTCACACACTCACATAACCTAACACTCCCCACACACTCATGAACACTCATATCACACACTTACACTCTCTCACACACCTACTCACACTCACCCACACATTCACATGTTGGCGATGAGGCAGAGGCCCGAACCCTCACACTGTGGTGGGGACACAGGAAGCAGAGGCAGCGCCAGGTGAGGAAGGGTGGCCACAGGTGCAGAGCCAGTGCAGCTCCCGTGAAGCCAATGGGTGGCCGCCACGTGCCAGCCGAGCCTCCTTAAAGGCAGGCCCTGGGGAGCAGGCGTGGGTCCAGGAGTGGCCACTTGGAAAGGTGAGTGTGTCCTTGACAGGCGGGGGCCTTGCCTGCCCCGCACTGCAGCCCTTATCCTTGGTCTGAGGGGAGAACCTCGCTCACCGGCTGCTGTGGGATGCTAAGGCCAGGTTCGGTCCAAGCTGGAGGTGGGGTGGAGGTCCCCCACAGGTCTTTGCAACATGTGGTTCCTGCTGGGGAGTGCAGAGTCACCCGTGCAGTACTCTGGCCAGCAGGGTGGCTCAGTGCTACCCAGGGGAGCCACCTGGGCCTAGACAAGCTCCATGCCGTGGTCTGGGCTGCCAGGGACCGGAGAGGGCTCAGCAATCAGGGGCAGTGGCTTTGCCTGAGGTTCTAGCTTCCTCCAGCTGAGGGCTCGCCCCATTCCTGCCTTATCCTCTGCCGGTGTCCCAGTCTTGACAGGCAGCCCTACTCTCTCGTCACAGCTGTTCATTGATGGATTTTCCCCTCGTGAGAACTGCTGGAATGATGGAGGGGTGACAGGAAACTGGGGTGCAATTGGGGAGCTGCCCTCTGCTCCCTACCTTCAATGAGGGAGATTTCCAGGGGTCCCCCTGAGCTTCGAAGCTGATTTCACAGAGACAGGGAGTCACCTTGGCCAGTCAACAGGGATGATGGGAGTTTTGCTCTGTTATTGTTTTCCATCTCTGTGTACGTTGGCTGTTCTGTGTTAGATGGCAGGGAAATGAGATTTTAATTGCTCTGTAATTAGGGCGGAACATTTGAACGTGTTCTTAGAAATAAGTTTTTCCTGTTACCACCCATGCAATTAATATTGTTTCTGGGGGCTGGTAAGATAGTGCAGGGGGTTAGCCTTGCCAACAGCCAACTAGCTTCCATCCCTGACACCACTGGGCATGGACCTGAAACCTGGAGTCTCTGAGTGTAGTTCTGAGTGTTTTATGTACAGAAAAATCAATGGAGGGCCCTGTTTGGAGTAATCTACACATAAATTCATCTCTTCGTGGCCCTCTGGCAAGATAAGCGCAATTGTTTTAGCGTGATGCATTTATTTCTACTCCTACTAAAATTATTTTGTGTTTGTTTGGGGGCCACATCCTGGCAGGCCTTGGGGGACCATATGCAGTGGCAGAGATCAAGCCCGAGTCAGCTGCATGCAAGGCAAGTGCCCTCCCCAGCCACGTGTCCTGCACAGTCTTTTTTTTTGGGGGGGGGTCACACCCAGCAATGTTCAGGGGTTACTCATGGCTTTGCACTCGGGAATTACTCCTGGCAGTGCTTAGAGGACCATGTGGGATGCCAGGGATCGAAACGGGTTCAGCCGCATGCAAGGCAGACACCCTACCCACTGTATTATCGTTCTGGCTCCTGTCATGCACAGTCTTACGAACACAGGGTCCCCCCAGAGAGTAGCACCCCAGCTGTTGCCTGAGTGCTCTCCAGGTTTTTTGTTTGTTGGTTTGATTTGGGGCCACACCTTGAGGTACTCAAGGGCTCCCACAGCTCCTTAGTTGGAGTTCACTTCTGGCAGTGCCTTGGTGACCACATGGTGCTGGGGGTGGACCCATGTGTATAGCGGGCACTCCCCAGCCTGTATGTCTTCAGCTTTGCTGAGAAAACAGGTTGGATCTGGCAGCATTTCCCTGAAAACCTGCACATCTCTAGTCCAGTGGGTAGGGCATATTTTAAATTATCCCATATGGCCCCCTGAATACCTCCAGGAGTCATTCCTGAGTGCAGAGCCAGGAGTAACCCCTGAACATTGCCAAGTGTGGCCCCATACAAGAAAATATGCATATCTTGACCACCCATCCTCCAGAGACATGGAATCAGTTGAAATAAACACAGGAGCAGAGACGCAGGACAGTACGAATGGGCTGGCCTTGCATGTGACCCCCTGGGTTTGATCTGGCACTGATAAGGGCCCAAGCACAGAGCCAGGGAAGCTCCCAGCCCCACTGGGTGTGGCCACAAGTTTTCCTCCCAAAAATGAAAAGGCAGCAGTACAACAATTTAATTTTTTAAATAATTTAAAATAAAAGCTGCAGATACATCAGGGTACAGAGGTGCTTTGCAGCTCTGATGACCTGGCTGACCTACAGTCGGCTGGCAGCTGACTCTGGCCCTAGGTTCATGAGCACTGAGGAGAGTCGGCCCATTCTGAGTGAATCCATCCCAACTCAAATTGGGTGCTGCCCTGCAGACCTCAGGCTCTATCCCAGGACCCCAAACCTCACCTCCATTTCCAGCGCTGCTCCCCCAACCCCCTCCCCACCTGAGTTCTGCTTCTTAGTTGCCGCCTCAGGTCTGGCTCTGCTGCCACAGATCCTGTGATGTGCCCCAGGGCCCCCCTGTCACCCTTCCCCAGGGCCTCCAAAGTGCCCCTTCAGAGCTGTCCTGCTTCTTCTCCCCCAGTCAGAGGCCAGCAGGTCAATGGCAAAACTTACGAATGGAGAGTCACATCTGGTTCTAGAGGCAGCCCTGGGTCTCGGCTGGGGTTGATTCTCAGCTCTGTTCTCAGGGCCTACACCTATTGCTGGTGGTACTGCATGGTTCTGGTTCCAGTGCTGGGGATTGGACCGTAATCAGTGAGGATTGGGTCATAGTCCCTGGACTCTCTCTCCAGTTCCTCTTGCAGATAAATTCCTAATAAGTGCAATGCACCAACTCACTCTATGGGTCATCCTACACCACAGCACAGAACAGACCAAAACATGCCTCTTCAGAGAGTCAGAGCATGCTTAAAGCCAAGGATTGGTACAGAGGGCTTCAGGTACCTGCCTTGCAGGTAGCTGGCCTGGGCAGTGTGGGCATGGCAAATGCCCCCTCTCTATAACAGCCCGCGCAAAACATTAGGTTTATGACCTCCTGGGAGAGCATGCTGAGGGTGGCCTCATCTCTCCCTTGCACAGCTCTGTTGGTGGTCCCCACACTCGCAGCACCCAGCAATGGAGGGAGAACGAGGAAAGGACACCCGAACTGCTCCTGCGCCCGCACCTGGAGAGGGAGGGAGGCAGGCGCGCTGCTGGAGCCCAGGTGAGGCGGGGCCCCTCTTTGGTTCTCTGGGTTTCCTTGTTGGGGCAGGGTAGCATGCCCAGCTCTGCTCAGGGCTCAATCCTGGCAGTACTTGGAGACCCGGTATGCGCTCAGGTTCAAACCCAGGTCAGCGTGGAAGGCCACAGCCCTGCCCACTCTCCCAGGTCCCATATCCCTGGCTATGGTATCTGTTGAGGTCAGTCACATTGGTCATCCTTGGGGGCTGGAGCAATAGAACAGTGGGTAGGGTGTTTGCCTTGCACGCAGCCAACTCGGGTTTGATTCCCAGCATCCCATATGGTCCCCCAAGCACCGCCAGGAGTATTTCCTGAGTGCAGAGCCAGGAGTAACCCCTGAGCATTTCTGGGTGTGACCCAAAAATAAAAAAAAATACATTGGTTATCCTTGCCATGCATGGTGCTCTGGGACAGGAACACGCCTTTCTGCCTGGCTGCTCACTGTGGCCCTGGCAGTCACAAGGTGGCAGATCCCTGCAGACTGCCGCGAGCAGTTTGTCCGGAGTCTGTCCCTGTGCCTGGCACTGGGACTTCCAGCTCAGCTGAGCAGGGCTCCCTGGCCCCTTGAGCAGAGCAGGGCCCTTAGTATGCAGTTGTCTGGGGTGCAGCTGGGGTCCCAGGTCTATGTCCGGGCACCTGTAGTGCAGAGAGCAGGCACAGAGCCAGTGGCAGCCTGATGTTGAGCGTGTTCAGAGCCAAGAAACCAGGAGAAATTGAAGGTCCCACATGGTGCCTTTAGCGGCTGTTTTGGGTGTTGAGGGGTCAGGAGCCACAGCGTGGCAGGGACCCCGTGTACAAAGAGACTCTGTTTTACCCAGTCTCCTGGTCTGTGGCCAGAAGCTCATGAGCAGATGGTCTTGCAGATAGTGATGATGGTGAAACAAGAGACACCCTGTATCCAGCAGGCTGTTGCCGAGACTTCACCCTTACTTGTAGCTGAACCCAGTGTCACAGATGGACCCTGGACAGGAATGACCCTGGACACCACAGGGGGGTCCCCAAGCTGAGCTAGGGGTGATCCCCAACCACTGCCAGGTGTGGCCCTCAAAAGCCACAGCAGACAGCTCTGACTTGGGGTGGGGGTGTCAGGCCCAAGTGCTCACGTGCTGCCAACCCCCGTGCTGCGCAGGTGCCCGGAGCTGCTGGGACTACAAGACACACCTGAAGAGTGGCTTTGCTGGTGGGCTGGTGGCAGAGGATGGTGGCTTCCAGGACTTGGGTTGTGACAGCCCTGAGCTGCAGGCACTGTTCAGGGCCTTCCTGCCTGACGAGCATGGCTTCCGGCCACGCACTGTGGTCCTGCATGGGGAGCCAGGCACAGGCCAGGCCCTGCTGGTTCGTAGGCTCCTGCTGGGCTGGGCGCAGGACAAGGCCCTCCAGGACCTCTTCTCTTACGTCTTCCTCCTGCAGGCCCAGGACCTGCGGGGGCCGGCTGAGAGCAGCCTCCTGAAGCTGTTGTCCAGGGCCTGGCCTGCTGCTCCGGAGGCCGCACAGGACATCGGGGCCTGGCCGGACAGGCTGCTGTTCGTGCTGGATGGTTTTGATGACCTGGACTGGACCTTTGGGGATGAGGACGGGGCCACATGCGCAGACTGGGCGGCGTGGCAGCCCGTGAAGGTGCTGCTCCGAAGTTTGCTCCGGAAGGTGCTGCTGCCAGAGGCCTCGCTGCTCATCACGGCCTCAGGCACCACCCTGGAGATGCTCAAGGCTGTGCTGGTGGCCCCCTGCTACCTGTGGTTCGGGGGGTTCTCACTGGAGCAGAGGCTGGACCTGCTCCTGCAGCACAGCTACTCTGAGGCCCAGCAGAGGCAAATCCTGCAGTGGGCCACCCACTGCCAACCATTGCTGGAGAACTGCCAGGTCCCTGCTATGAACCACCTCCTCCAGGAAGCCCTCCATCTGCGACTGGCCACCCACAACTGCACACTCACGGCCTTATATGCCACCTGGGTGTTTCATCAGTTCTTACCAATGCAAGTGGCAGCTGAGATGAGGGACCACATGAGACCTGTCTGGAGGCACATGCTGCAGGCCTTGTGCCGTCTGGCCCTGGAGGGTCTGAGGCTCCAGAAGCTGGTCTTCACTCAGGACACGCTGGGCAGGTTCGGGCTGTGGAGCCCGCACCTCTCCTTTCTGGCCAGCAAGCACCTCCTGCTGCCTCACCCGCACCGTGCTGGTCACTTCAGCTTCCTGCATCCCAGCCTGCAGGACTTCTTTGCGGCCCTGAGCCACATGCTGCCTGAGGGGCAGGCCTGCCCCATGTTCCCCGAGCTCCTGAGCCTGCTGTTGCCCAAGTCTGGGGGTGCCCGCCATCCGCCCGTGAGCCGCTTCCTGTGCGGCCTCCTGAACCGGGAGTTGGCAGAGCTGCTGCAGGGGCTGCTGGGGTGTGCCGTGGCCCCTGAGACCAGACAGGCCCTGCTGCATGAGGTGGCCTGGCTGGGCGCCCACCCTGGCCCCCAGGACCTTCTCTCCACCTTCTACTGCCTCTTTGAGACCCAGGAGCAGGAGCTGGTGCAGGAGATGTGTGCCAGCCTGCGGGCAGCCAGGGTGCTGCTCAGCCGGCCGATGGACCTACTGGTCCATGCCTTCTGCCTGCCCTGCTGTGGCCACCTGCAAACCCTCAGGCTGTCCGTCGGAGGGGTCTTCCAGAAGGATCACAGCCTTGAAGCAGGGCCCCTCCTGCCCCCCAGGTAAGGCCTTGCCTGTGGCCTTGGGCTTTCTTCATCCCTCTTTTTTGGGGTTTGTGCTGTCCAAACTGTAGCCCTTTTTTGTGGGTGAGGGGAGAGCATGTTGGGGCCACACCCAGCAGTGCTCGGAGCTGACCTCACCTCTGTGCTGGGACTCACTCCTGGTGGGGCTTTGGGGACCCTCTGCGGTGTACCCTAGTCACATGCAAGGGTGTGGTGCCTTTGCCGTTGGACTGTCTCTGGCCTAGTCCCCTTTTCAGCCCTTTCTGTCTGAGGGCTTGGGGTCACACCATGGTGGCTTCCCCGCCTCACTGAGTTGACACAGCTGCTTCTTGGTGTTGCTGTGGGGCAGCGCTGACCTGTCCTCCATCCCAACCCCCAGTTCAGTGCTTTTGTCTCACCCAGAAGTGGGGCAGTTCGGGGCTGTTCTCAGGCAGCTGTGGCCACCCCTCTGCCACTCAGTGAAAGCGCGACCCGAGGCTGTGCAGGAGCCAGGCAGGTGCCCGTATGGCATTGCTGGCTTCAGGCTCCGCCCCTCCCCCACAGACCGCAGCACCAGAGCCTGGTAAGGGAGAGCTGGCAGCAGCTGTGTGGGGTGCTCGGTGCACACCCCAGTCTGCGGCGGCTGGACCTCGCAGGCAGCATCCTGAGCCCATGGGCTTTGAAGACACTGTGTGGACAGCTCCAGCGGCCGGCCTGTGGCATTCAGCGCCTGACGTGAGTTGGACATGGGGGTCATGTGGATCCTCAGGGCAGGAGAGGGAGTACTTGAGGCCAGATCGCGTTCTGTGGATTTTGAAGAATGAACAGGAGTTGATTTGTCCAGGAAAGCGGGAGGAAAGCTCATTTCAGGCCACACCGCCTCTCTAGCGAGCTGACATAGGTGACTGTGTGGGGCCTGGACACGGGTTCTACTCCCAGTTCTTTGCTCTGGGGTTTGGGGAATCCTGGCACTGCTGCAGAATGGGGCAGACCCCTCTCTCCAGACCTTCTTCAGGGTGCTGCCTGGGGCTGAGCCCTGCCGCACACCACGCTGGGATCTGTAGGTGTCCCTGTGAGGGCAGAGATCCAGGTCCGACTGCTCTCTCACCCCCTCAGCCCCACGCTGACGGGGAGCAGCTGGGCTCTGGGTGAGCTGCATGGCTCAGTTCAGGGAACTTTCTACCCACCATCCTGCACTTCCGGTTCAATCTTCCTTGGTACCCTACAGCTCAGGGTCACCTATGTATGTCTGTAGCTGTGGGTCTGTGTTTCAATTTAAATGTGATTGCAGTTTACCTGGTCTGACTCTTGACTCTTCAACCTGAATTTGACTGACATCCTAGTTCTGTTCTCTAGATGACACCCTATTTCCTTCTCCTTTTCGAAGGGGGCGGAGACAAGCTCATACTTGGCAAGGCGTGGGCTCTCCAAGCTTCATCCTTTGGTTTTAGCTTTTCACACCCAGTGGTGCTTATTGCTTATGGCTGGGATCACTCGGGAATATCAGGTGTTTGAATTGGGGCCAGCCATACGCAGGCAAGTATCTTCCCCACTGTGCTAGCTCTCCGGCCCCTTCATTCCTTTTATTTTGGGGGCCTCAACAGTGGTGCTCAGGGCTGCTGCATTCACAGCATGTGCTCTGCCCACTGAGACATCTTCCCGGCCCCCCCAGCATTGGAATCATATCTCACATGTGACTCTTTGGGTGTCCTGATAAATAGCTCTCCTGCTAGAACATTCTGCCCTTGTTTTCATGCCATTTCCAGTGCTGGGAGCCTGAAAGGCATTTCTGTGACTTATCCAGCAGATGAACATAAGGGGCTGAGGGATAGGCTGAGATTGCAGAGGTGTCCTCCTGTCTACACTCCCCTCCCCGCCTGTATCCCCCCTATCTACAACCCCGTCCCTGTCAACCCACCCTCCTGTCTACCCCACCCCCTCCTTGTCCACACCCCTTGTCTATGCCCCTCCCTTCCCTGTCTGTACCCCTCCTTCCTGTATATACCTCTCCCTTCCCTGTCTGCACCCCTAACCCTAACCCTAACCTATCTATACCACTCCCTCTCTGTCTACACACTGTTCCCCCACAGCTTCACAGATGTGCAGGTGATGTGGGGCCTGGAGCCACTCTGGCATGTTCTGGTTGCCAGCCCCAGACTCCGGCTGCTGGGCCTGGCCTGCATGTCCCTCGGGCATGCGGACGTCACCATGGCCGGCATGGCTCTGCGACACCCTTCCTGCAGGCTCCGCTCTCTCTGGTAAGTCCAGCCTCAACTCTCGCTCTGGAGCTGGTGTTGGTCATTCATGTTTGAAATACTTACACGAGTTACAAAAATATAACATGTGTCAGGCGGGCGGTGAGCGGGGGGACAACAGGACATGGAGCAGCAGGGAGGGGCTTCCCCCACGTGGCTAGTCTGGGTCCAGCCCTGGCCCACGTGACCAGGGGCAGCCCTGGTGGTCCTGGCAACACAGAACTGCCTCTCAGCACCCCCACTGTACCCCACACATCAGGGTGTCATTTGCATCTTGTCCCCCAGCACCAATCACGGGGTAGCCCCTGAGCCCCACAGGTTAGACCCCCCAAGATGGACACTAAAAAGAAGAGCTCTGAAATAACTGGGTTATTTCTCAACAGCATAGGCGTCTAAGAGGGTCCAGGTTAGGGGGTGACACCAGTATGGGCGTCCGAGAGGGTCCAGGTTCAGGGACGGCCCTGCACCCCACAGCCTCACAGGTTCCAGCAGTCACACAGCTCCAGGCACCTGGGGAGAGACGGGCTGTGTCCGAGGTGGGGCTCAGGTGCCGGGCTTTGTGGACACCATGCTGGTTCAGGCTGCCATTCTCTGTAGGCTAGATGGCTGCTGGCTAGAAGACCCTGAGTTCTCTGTCATCTCCCAAGTCCTAGCTGGGGCCACCTGCTTACGAGTCCTCAGCTTGGCCAGAAACAAGGTCTCAAAGGACGCCCTCAGGGCACTGTGCCAGGGCCTGCTGGCCCCAGCCTGCAAGCTGCAGAGGCTCGTGTGAGTGCGCCCTCACCCTGGGCCCCAGCGGGTAATGGGGGAAGGGCTGGGGGTCACGGGAGGATGCCCCCAGCTACAGGTCTCCCTCGTGGTGCCCTCCATGCCAATGCCAAATGCACAGAAGCCACCAGGACCTCTGGGCCTCACCAGGTTGCCCCTGAGCTGGGGGCGCTGCCTCAGGACGTGGGTTCCCATGAGAAACTCGCGCTCATGTCCATCGGGGTTCCTGCCCTCTGCCCCTTTCCTGCTGGGGAGGTGTGTGCCCCCTTCCCACACACACACGCACAGACACACAGACGTGGGCAGAGACACCCACACGCAAGGCTAGATGCCCCTCCACACACACACGCACATTTTTTCTGTCCCAGCGGGCGTGTCCGAGACTCGTGGGCCTGTGGCTTGTGCCCCCCTCTCCAGCTGTGGGGGAGCAGGAAGGGCTGGGGTGGTTCTCTTCATGCCCTTGGGGCTCCCTCTCCAGGCTGCGGAGCTGTGGCCTCTCTGCCGGGGCATGCCAGGACCTGGCCAGGGGCCTCATCGGCAACTGCAGCTTGACGCACCTGGACCTGTCAGACAACCACCTGAGTACATGGGGCATGAGGTTCTTGTACCCCTGCCTCAGCCACTCAGCACCCAGCCATGGTCTCCAGAGGCTGCTGTGAGTGACCCCCAAACTGGTCCTGTGTACCTTGCAGTGCTAATGGCACACAGAGAGGGGGCCTCCCTGGGATGGTGCTGCCCACATGGGGCTCTGGAGTCTGCCTTCCCTTCCCATCTGCCTACAGCCTGACCCGGTGCGGCCTGGATACGGCTGCCTGCAGCTTCCTGGCCTTGGCACTCATGCACCACACGAGCCTGACACATCTAAGCCTCAGCTCAAACCCGCTGGGCAACCGCAGCGTCCACCTCCTGTGCCTGGCCCTGCAGGACCCCATGTGCCACCTGCAGGAGCTGGAGTAAGTGTCACAGGGCTGTACCTTGCTCTCTGCCACCAGTGGGCTGAGGCCGAGAGTGGGAAGGGGCGACCCTATTCCCTGTGAGGACGCCCGGAGGCAAGTTGTGGCATAGGGGGCACCAAAGCTCGGATCCGAATTAGCTTCCCGCTGAGTGTTCTAACTCTTCTGCCCCTCTCTGGCCCAAGGTCATCCACTCTGAGCCAAGAGGGATGGGAGGCAGGGACTCTCCACAATTCCCCGATGCCTCTTCCCTCTACTGCAGGCTCGTACAGTGTCAGCTCACGGCCACCTGCTGCTCCAGCCTGTCCTCCGTGATCGCACAGAACCAGTACCTGAGCAGCCTGGACCTCTCCCACAATGCCCTGGGTGACGAGGGACTGGTGGCACTCTGCGAGGGTCTCAAACAAAGCACCAGCTCACTCGTGAGGCTCAGGTGGGCCTGGGTGCCGTGCTCATGTTCTGGTCTTTGTGCTTGGGACCCTCTGGGAGAGCAGCATTCCTGCTGTCAGAGTTCGGTGTTTGGAGCAAACCAAAGTGGGTGGGGGCGTCTGGATACCAAACTCAGAACTAAGGTATGCTTGGCCTGGTGCAGGGGGTGCTGCGGTGGGGGTTGGGGATGAGCCTTGCGTTGCTGCTCCTGAGGCATTAAGAAAATGAAGTAAGTCTTGGACTCTGGGTGAGCCCAGGTTTGGCATACTGGGCCCAAGGGGGGGTGCCAGAGCAGGAAGGACTGGCCCACCATTCTGCAATGCCCTGGAACACAGCCCAGTGCCAGGCCAGAGAGGCATGCCACCAGTGCATCTGGAGGGACTGTGCACAGTGCATCGGGAAGGGCAGTGGCAGAGAAAGACCGAACCCAAGGGACTCCTTGTGAGATGTGTCAGCGGTGGTTGCTGTCCCACTTATCTTGAGAGGAGGGGTGGGACAAGAGGTGGTGGCAAAGTTGGGAACCCATCTTCTTCTCTAAACCACAGCTCCTTGGGGAGCCAGAGTGACAGTACAGTGGGGAGGACACTTGCTTTATATGCAGCCGACCTGGTTCGATTTCTAGCATCCTATATGGTCCCCCAAGAACCACCAGGAGTAACTCCTGAGTGCAGAGCCAAGAATACCCCTGAATATCACCGGGTATGACCCAAAAAGCTTAAATAAATAACTAAATAAACTACAGGGCTGAAGTATTGTATACAGCAGGTAGGGTATTTGCCTTGCACGTAGCCGACCGGGGTTCTATTCCCAGCATCCTATATGGCCCTCTGAGTACTGACCGGAGTAATTCCTGAGTGCAAAGCCAGGAGTAACTCTTAGGCATCACCAGGTGTGACCAAAAAGCAAAAAATAAATAAAATAAAAAAATTTAAAAAAACCCCAGCTGTTTCTCAGCCCTAGGGTCATGGATAGCTTTGGCAGTCTTGCCTCTCAGCAGCTGACCCCGCCTCTTCCAGATTGACTCCATCCCTATAGCTGGCGAGTCCTATTACTGGGTAGCCATGCACCCTCCTCTGGATAGCTTCCTCAAAGCTCTTGGAGTTTCTAATTTTCTGAGCTTGCCTGTGTGTCCCAGAAAAACTGCACCATCCCTAGAGACAGCCTCCTGTTCAGGGAGGGCTCTGGGCACTGCTTGGCGTCACTGCTAACTTCCTCCTTGCCTCCTGGAAATGTGGGGACCTTCTGGTTCTTCTTGGTACTACTGATGTGTCCTAGAAGAGCATAAGACTCCCGCCCGCCCCTGCAACATGAGCTCATGTTGTGCACACACCCCTCTACAATGGAGGGTCATGCCTACTGCTCAGCATGTCTCCCCAGACTGGACACAAGTACCCCATGGTAATCCCTGCCCGCTCTAGAGACTTTGTTCCTAAGTGCTTCAGAGCACAGGCACCCTCCAGGAAGGCAGACAGCCTTGTCACCCTCCTCAGTCCCATCATCCTGCAGTGGCTGGAACCACTTAAGCAGACCCTCACTATGCATCAGTCAAGCCTGTGTGTTCTTGGGCTTTGTTTCTGGGTCACATCCGGGCCTTACTCCTGGCTCTGCATTCACTTGGACCATTCTTGGCAGGGTTCAGGGGGCCATTTGAGGTGCCAAGTGTCAAACCCAGGTGGGTCGTGTCCCGAGTACAGTAGGTAAGGCACTTGCTGTCTCTCCAGTCTGCTGCTGGGAGGCCTCAGGCAGTGAAACATTCGCTCTGTCCCTAACAGCTGAAGGGGCATGCCCTGCACGATCACCTGAGTTGCTTTGAAGAGACCCTAGCCCACTCTTCCCGGTTCACCCCAGGTTTCCATCCCCAGAAAGAAGTCCTCAGCCTTGACCCTCCGTCCCCAGCACTCTCCAGGGGACCCGGGGGCATGTCAGGCTTTGCTTCAGGTCTCCGAGAGCCCCCCCCCGCCCCCACACACACACATACACCTGGCAGATGCACAGGGAGAGGCCCTGGCTGATGCTCATGGCCTGGCCTGTCGTGTGCCCACAGGCTGGAGGAGTGTGGCCTGACCTCAGACAGCAGTGTGGCACTCTCCGCCGCCCTCTCCCAAAACCGCAGCCTCCTTAGCCTTGGCCTGGCCAGCAACAGCTTCAGCCTCCCAGCCATGAGGACACTGTTTCAGGGGATCTCACACCCATCCTGTGCCCTGCGCGCCATTGGGTGAGTCCCTGCCACCCTAGACAGAGCCTGGGGATCAGAGCTGCAGTTACAGCTAAGGCGCTGGCTCTGTGCCACCCGCAGTATCCATGGGCTTCCAGCCTCAGTGGGAATGGGGCTTACAGCGGCATTGGGGGGGGGTCCCTTTGGGTGAGTTTGCAGCTGCATGCAGACAGCATTGAGTACACCTCATGTGCTGTGGGCTGGGGACAGTGCAGGGCTGAGATACTGGCCTTATACAGCCAACTGCCCCTGGGTGAGGGACATACTGCATGGGCTGCACAACACAACCTGATTCAGCCTTCCGGGAGGCGCATTGGGCCACGCCCACCAGTGCTCAGGAGGCACTCCTGGCATTCTTCAGAGGACAGTATGAGGTATCGGGATTCAAACCAGGGCATGGCACCTATAGTCACAAGCTGTATAGACCTTAACTTTTTTTTTTTTTTTTTTTTTGCTTTTTGGGTCATACCTGGCAATGCACAGGGGTTATTCCTGGCTCTGCACTCAGGAATTACTCCTGGCGGTGCTCAGGGGACTATATGGGATGCTGGGAATCGAACTCAGGTCGGCCACGTGCAAGGCAAGAGCCCTACCCGCTGTGCTATTGCTCCAGCCCCAAGACCTTAACCTTTTTTTTTTTTTTGGGGTCACACCCGGCGATGCTCAGGGGTTACTCCTGGCTCACGCACTCAGGAATTGCTCCTGGCGGTGCTCAGGGGACCATATGGGGTGCTGGGAATCGAACCTGTGTTGGCCATGTTGGCTGCGTGCAAGGCAAACGGCCTACCCGCTGTGCTATCGCTCCAGCCCCCAACCTTTTGTTTTTTTAATTAAAAATTAGGACTGGAGTGGTAGGAGTAATTCCTGAGTGCAGAGCCAGGAGTAGCCCCTTAGCATCCTGGGGTGTGACCCAAAAACCAAAAATATAATAATTTAGCCCCTAACTTCTATACTCTCTGGTGCCCCCCCCTTTTTTTGGGGAGGCACACTTGGCAATGCTCAGGGATCACTCCTGGCTGACTTAAGGGACCATATGAGATGATGGGGATTGAACCCGGGTCAGCCATGTGTAAGACAAGACCCTAAACCCGCCATATTTTCTTTTTCAATACCATTTTATTAACAAAGGGTTGCATCTGGGTTATCTGCTCCCTTTCCTTTTACTGTAGTTTCTATGGCCAGGGATCGATGGAGTTTTGATCATTACTTGCATACATGCTCTCTAGGGGGCACTGCAGCTCCCTTTGTGCTGTGGGGTCACAGTCAGTCCCTCAGCTGTGGGGCTGCCCAAGCTGTGGGAGCCACGTCTGCTCCCACACCCCTCCTGCGGTGCAGCTGGGAATGACTTGTGGTGTTAGTGTAAGAGAGCTGGTTCAAGCATGTTGCACTGGTGACCACACCTGCATGGGGCGCACTCTGGGGGTTCTGCATCTTAGGGTATGAGAGACTGACACGGGGAAGGCAGCCTGCTCTGTCCCCAGCTGTCCTCACATGTGGGGATTCCCTGGGCCCACTCCTGGTCTCGGGGCTGGAGGGAGTGGAAAGTTCTGAAACCTCAGGTGCTCTTGTTGCCTGCAGGCTGAAGCTGGGGCAGTTTCCGGCTGCGGTGCAGCAACTGGTGGCAGATCTGCAGCAGGTGAAGCCATGGGTGACTGTGGATAGCGACTGGGACAAAGAGCCAGGTGAAGACTGGGACGAGGAGCCCGATGAAGACTGGTTCTGGTGGCGGCAGTGATTTGCGCTGTCACAATACGGCCTCTGTCCTGTCCTTCTGCTCAGAGCATTCTTCCATGGAGCAGAGGGACCCCAATAAACTCTGAGCATGTGGCACATGTGCAGCTCTCCAGTGCCTTGGCCACCATGCAGGATGGGGAGAAGGCATCGTGCCTGAGCAGTGCCCCAAGGGACAGGGATGACCCAGGGCGGATAGCTGCGCATGCAGAAGGTTCACGGAAGCAGCAGCAGTGATGCCATGAAGCCTTGGTGACATTAGCCACAGGGGTCATAGGGGTGAGAGTCAGGTACAGGGATGCATGGTGGCAGCCGATGGAAGTCATGCCTTCAGGGGTTCTCTTTTATCCCTGGGGACTTTTTTTTGGTTTGGGGTCCATGCCCAGCAGTAATCTAGGGTACTCTCGGCTCTGTGCTTTGGGGGGATGCTGCAACAGCTGAGGATGGACCTCAGGATCTGTCTGCTTCTGGCTTGTTCTGCTCAGCACACCATCCTCCCCCACCCCTGCCTCTGGCCCAGTCCTATCCAAGTTGCCAGAAACTGTGACTATCCCGCGTCCACGGCGCCCCTGTGGCCGCTCACGCCCAGTGCTTAGTCCCTCAGCCACGACTGCTCAGGCTGTCCTCTGCTGCTGGCCTTGGGGTTGCTCCCATTTTTGGCTACTCTACTAGGTTGCTGAAATGAACATAAATGTGCCTCTATATTTTGGGGGGCACCTGGAGGTGCTTGGGGCCCACATGCAGTGCTGGGGTCACAGGCAGAGGTAGTGCCAAGTCCCGGCTCTTTCCAGCCCATCTAAATGAGTTTCTGGTGTCTGGGGGATAAATGCCCAGAAGGAGGAGCATCGGCAGATGTGGGGGCACTTCTTGTGTTTTTGGGTTTTGGGCCCCACCTGGCAGTGCTCAGGGAACCCTCTGCAGTGCTGGGGTTGACCCCAAGCCAGCACCTCCCCGTCTCTTGCTCTCAGTCCTCTATCCTTTACGCCTGCTCAGCTGTCTTCAGTGAAGGCTGGGTCAGACAGTCTTGGCACAGGAATGAGGCCACCTTCAACTGTTCAGCTCTGGGGTCCATGGGGCTAGCTGGAGAGCATGGATGCATCCCCAGCCTCACTCTGTCAATGGGGAGGGGGGGTGGGGGTGGGGAGACAGAGAGGAAGGACCAGACCGGACCAGGCTCTGTCCTTGGTGCTGACAGCCTGGGCCAGTGCAGTGGGGCTGGTTGTCGGGGACCGACTGGCTGCTCCCCAGTCACAGTGCCAGCCATGCGCAGGTCGGTGGAAGGGCGGAGGCAGGTGCACAACACGCACCCTCACAGGACCCTGGCAAGAGTTGCTCTGCAGGGATGAGACTAGCCCACAGGGCTGGGCACAGGCTCGGCCTTAAGGGGTCCTGGCTCCATCCCTCCTACTGTGGTCTTGAGCACCACTAAAGAGACTCCTGAGCACAGAGCTGGGTAGTCCCACTCCCTCACACACATGCTTTACTGCTGCAGGTGGGGGAGGGGGCACCCCAGACAGGAGCAGGGCCTGGGAGAGGAGGCAGTCGGGAGAAGGAACAGAATACTTACCTCTCCGTCTCAGGGACACTTGCAAGACTGGTGAGTACCTCCCTGAGCCATCTCAGCAGCTCAGGAGGCGGCCGTCAGTGGCACCTGCTTCCACTGTTCTCCCACCCCCAATGCTCAGGGAGCTGGAAACCAGGCTGCAGTGAAAGGGACATCAGTCCTGTCTCACCCGGGTTCCTCACAGGGAACAATTGCAGAGAAACAGGTAAGGCAAGCTTACTTGGAGCAGGGGAGGAGAGAGGGACAGAGAGGCAGGCAGGGATGGAGGCATATCATTCCTTCCCCAGGCCAGAGTGATAGCACAGCGGGGAGGGCATTTGCCTTGCAAGTGGCTGACCCGGGTTCGATCCCCAGCATCCCACATGGTTCCCTGAGCGCTGCCAGGAGGAATTCCTGAATGCAGACCCAAGAGTAACCCCTGAGCATCACCGGGTGTGACCCCCCCCCCCCCCCCATTACCCCTTTCCCACTGCCATTTCGTTTGTACAATTTTCCATTCTGCCCCCATCCAGTCTGTTGCTGGGGTGGTAGCCAAGGGGGAGAGTTGTTTGCTGCCCATGGCATTCACTGATGCTCTGTGACCTTTGTCTCAGGGGACAGACAATCCTCTCCCAAGGACCCCGGGCAGGGCAGGGCTGGACCAGGACTCTGCATCCTGGGTTTCCCTGTGGTGCTGAGGTCTTCGTGACTTTGGGCTGGGTTAGGTCCCCAAGTAGTGTTTTTCTTCCCTATTTCCTGATATTCTTTTCTCTGCCTGCAACATTACTGTTACTTCAGGCAAGCAGGTCAATCTCCATCACCAGGGTCAGGGAGAAGCAGGTTTGGGAAGCCCAGTAGGCAGACCCCAAGGACCACAATCCGGGCCTGAAGCACTCCTGGATTTGATTTTTTTGCCGGGGCACACCTGTCTTCTCCAGTTTTAAAATAGTGGGGCGCATGGCACTGCTCGCAAAAGCACAGGGAGAAGGTGGCCAGTGTAAGAGCCTACTTTCCTCCTGCCCCTCTACCCACCAGTGCTGGAGAGGGGTCAACTGGGGCACTGAATGCAAAGCTCTGCGATGCTCCCGAGGAGAAAGCGTGCTTGCTGTATGCGGAACCTTCTAGAAAGTGGTGCACAGATGGGCTGCTGCAGGAGGAAAGGGGGGGAGCGGCCCAGACTGACTCGATGGTTCTCATGGGGGCACACAGCCAGGTGCAGGCCGCTCATGAAGTGGGCAGCGCGAGGGCCCTGATGAGCTGTGGGCACCACATGTGCGGCACGGTCAGGTGGCATTATTGTGAGTGCTCCGCAGCCCACGGGGATCCAGGTGCGGGCATGGGACCACCACGCACCACAGCTGGCGTGGGGCCCTGCAGGAAGTGGCTGTGCCGTGACCTTCCTGGCCCCACTCGCACGTCACCCGGAAACTCAGTGATTTCCGGGAGGCCTGGGGATGCCACCTTCTCGGGACAAAGTGCAGACTTCACCCCTCCTTGTAAGTGTACCCCCTCCCAACCAGACCCCATAACTTCTTTCGCAAGAATATGCTCCCAACTCCCGCCTCAGCACAGGCCTCAGAAATGAGGCGAGGCTCCTGGGAACCCCTGGCTCACGGTCCTCCTGATGAGGGTCTCGGCACTTGTGGGTACTGAGCGGCGCTGCCATATGGCTGCGCTGGGGGCCAAATGCCGGGGTGCTTGTTATTTCCACAGGGCTCAGGGGACCACACAGGGAGCTGAGGATGCATCTTGGCCACAATGTAAGGCCAGTGCCCTACTCACCGCGAGAAGTCCCACCCCCATCCAGGGTGGGGGTACCCACCATCCCTCTGTGACCCAGGGGTCAGGTCAGCCCCACAGGGTGCGGGTGTCCAGGGAGCAGACTTGGGGCATCTCCTTCCCCCAAACCCAAGAACCACGAAGCGGGGGAATCGATAGTGCCTTTTATTGACCCCGCCCCCCCTCCCGAGGGGCACTTGGAGCAGAGTCTAGTGCTGCTTCTCAGTCCTCAGCTACCCCGAACAGGAGTACAGACTGGGGTTCCCGCGAGAAGGAGCGGGCCAGAGGCAGTAGGGCTATGAGTACTCTAGAAGGCAAGCCCCCCACCTTTCTTCCCTGGCGGGGGAGCGTTTCCTCTCTGACTCCGTGGCCAGGTGTCCCCATCTGTGTCACTTCAGCTCCCGTGGCCTCTCGCAGGACCAGGGCGGGAGACGCCAGGGTTGAGACGACGGTGGGGCCCATGGCATCCCTCTGTCCGCCTCCTGGTTTCTGGGGCTGTGCCGCCAGTGGCTCCTGCCAAGCCCGAGGGGCCCGGTGCCCCCCCGGGCCCCGCCACCCCTACCGGGCCTCCCCGCCGCGACACTCGCTGCAGCGGCCCGCGGCAGCGTCGTCATCCTCATGGTCGTGGGCGGCCGGATAGAAACTCTGTCCGCAGCGGCTGCAGACGGAGGGCGTGCCCACGGCGTGGCTGCGCTTGTGCCGGCGCAGCGCCGCGCCCTGGACGAAGCCCTCACCGCACTCCACGCAGATGTGCGCCGGCTCCTCACCTGCCGCCCCGGCGCCGTCCCCGTGCTGGGCACGCTGGTGGGTGCCCAGCGCGGCCGCGTGCCCGAAGCCCTTCCCGCACTCCAGGCACACATAGGGCTTGGGGGCTGGAGCGCGGCGTGAGCGGGGCCCGGGCGCCCTGGCCCCTGCCACCGCCATGCCCGCGGCCGTCGCAGCCCCCTCGCCTGGCGCACCCACCACGATGATGCCCTCGCCATCGCCCACCGGGATGGCGAGTTCGCCGTCGGCCGCTGCGGCTGCCTCCTCAGGCGCCTTGGCGCGGCGCACGCTGGCTGCCAGCACCTTGGCCGCCACCCCGGGCCCCGACAGCTCGGGGTGCAGCCGCAGGTGGCGCGCCAGGCTCTTGGGCTGGCTGAAGCCGCGGCCGCAGCGAGGGCACACGAACGGCTTGAGGCCGCTGTGCGAGCGCCGGTGCTTGGCCAGGCTCTTGCTCTGTGTGAAGCTGCGGCCGCAGTCGGGGCAGGCGTAGGGCTTCTCGCCTGTGTGGATGCGCTGGTGCTGCATGAGGTTGGAGCTCCAGCTGAAGCGCTTGCCGCACTCGGAGCAGGCGTAGGGCTTCTCGCCTGTGTGGATGCGTCGGTGCTGCACCAGATGCGAGCTCTGGGAGAAGGTCTTGCCGCAGTCGCTGCAGGCGTTGGGCCGCTCGCCCGTGTGTGTGCGCTGGTGCCGCGTCAGTTTGGACCAGTGGCTGAAACTCTTGCCACACTCGTTGCAGATGTAGGGGGCAGGCGGGCGTGGCCGGGGTGGAGGGCCTGCGGTGGGCGCTGACGGGGCTGGGGACAGCTTTGTCGGGGGCCAAGTGGGGACGTCATCGTCATCCATGATGAGAATGTCCACTGTGGTGGGGTGGGGAGAGAGGGAAGGCAGGGAGGCTCAGGACTGGCCCGCAAGCCTGCCCCAAGTGTGCATGACCTTCGGGGACGAAGGACGGGCTGCCCAGCAAGGCCCCACCTGCACAAGCACGCCCCGAGAGGGGACGGCAGGCTCCTCCCCAGCATCCTGGCCTCAGTGCAGACTCCTAGAAAGGCTCAGGATGTCCCCAGGGGTCCCCAGGGCAGACTTGGGAGAGTATCTTCAGAGCTAACATAGAGCCTGGGGGGATCACAGCAAGCTGGGGCGCCCATTAGCACACTTGATCCCCAGCCATGTGGGCCAGGCAAGGCCTGCAGATTACAGGGTGAGCACTGCAGCAGACTTCAGTAGGAGCCAACTGGGTCTCACTGTACAGTGCTCCACTAAGAAAACGTTTTGCCTGCCTGAATGCAGGGTCATATGGTGCCAGGGGCCATGGGGTTCTGAGCCAACACAGAGCGGCCTGGACATCACTACTTCCCACCCGCCTGCAGGCAAGGCTGCAGCCCACCTTGTGGAGTCTGAAGCCTGGGAGGGGCTTGGGGGCCCAAGTGTGCCCCAATCTGGCAGTGCTCCAGGGTGTCAGGCAGGCCTGGTAAAGTCCCACACCCTAAGAACAGGGTGTCTGGCCCTTTGATGAGGCTCTGTTGCCTTCTCTGTCTCTTGGGGCCCATACTCCCCTCCCCGTGGGACGGTCCAGCAGTGTGTGTGGCTCATGCAGATCAAACACTGAAGCACTTGGGAGTTTTCTTTAGAACATCTTGGGGATGGCAAGGGATGCCAAAGAGCCCCAAGAGGAGAGGGGTGTGGGAGGCGAGGGCGTGGTGGGCACACCCATCTCAGGGCTAGGGGTATAGGTTCTCATGCATCCCCAGGGCTGCTCGGGGCCAGGCCCCTACTTCCCTACACACACACCATGCCTCCTCGCCCATCTTGCCCAGCCGCACCTCACCTGGGTTCTCATGACTGGCCATCTGCTGGTCCTCTGAGTCCAGCGGCCCCGGAGACCAGGCCTCCTCCCGAAGCTCCATGTCTGGGTCCCTGCAGAGGGGCAGGTGGGAGCTGCGGAGCGCTGATGGCCCAGCAGCAAGCACGGAGGGGTGTGGGCACAGCCTTGTGCCTCCTTTCCCTCTCTGCAAGGGCACCACTGAGCAGCCACACCTAATGCTGCAGCTCCTCCCGTGAACAGGTGGCCCCGAGTCTCATGCTCAAGTGTGTTTTTCTTTTATTGTTTTGATTTTGGGTCACACCTGGCAGTGCTTGGGGGACGCTATGGGATGCCAGGGATCGAACCCAGGGATGGCCCCACACAAGGCAAGAACCCTCCCCACTGTACTGTCACTGTGACTCCTCAAGCAGCTTTGTTTGGCTATTGGGCCACATCCAGTGGGGCTTGGGGGACCCCCCAAGATGCTGGGATAGAACCTGGTTCAGTCGCAGGCCAGGCAAGTGCCCGCCCCACTGTACTGCCTCTCCGGGCCCTGGCACCATTCATGCATTACTTTCTTTTATGGGGGGCGTCTACTGAGGTGACCAACATTTACTCTAAGCACCACAAATCCAGCCTGTGGACACTGAACCCCTGAGAACAGTCATACACATGCAGTTCCTAGAAAGAAGTCTGTCTGTGGGGTGCAGGAGAGTAGGGGGGAAGAAACACACAAGCCGAGTGTGGGAGAGTGGGGGGCATGGCAGCAGCCTCCTTCTGTCCTCCTGGGGCCTCCTGCCATGGGCCCTGGCCCAGCAGCACTTCCTGACCAGGGAACTGCTGATGCCTGGGTTTCCGCAGGAGTCAGGAAGAGGGCTGGGCCAGCTCTGGGGTGGGGACAGAAAAAGAGACCCTGGGTGAGCATTTGCAGGAGACGTGCCCGTGGCCCTGGCTGGGATGGGCGGGCTTCATCTCTTCCCTGTACTGCCCACTGCCGCCAGGGCCCCATACCCCGCAGCACCCCAAGTCCTGACCTTCAGCCAGGCCGGTGTCCAAGTACATGGGGAGCCCGGGGCTGGCCACAGGTGGTTCCACACGTTCAAATGGGCACGCTTGAGGAGGAGCTGGCACCTGTCCCTGCAGGGGCTTGAACCACCAGAAGAGGCCCCCAAGTCTTCCTTTAAGGGCCCCTCCCTTGCCTGCCCCAAGGTAAGGCCAAGCAGCCTGGAACCTGGTGAGGGAAGAGGGCAGGGCAGGGCTCCCAGAGTCACAAGGTGGCCTTATGCTGGTCTCCCACTGCGGCTGGGGAGCCCAAGGACACCCCGAAAGGTCTCACAGAGGAGAGCAGGCCCAGCCATGTGGGGTGTTGGAGAAGCCCCCAAGGAGCGAGATCTGGGTGAGACCAAGAGAGGGAGCAGTTGGGGTAAGGCCACAGACTGGGGGCAGCAGGTCCTCTGCCCTCAGGCCCACCCACTTCCCCAGTCAAGTGTGTCTCTACAGAAACTCCTTACTTGGCTTCCACCCCAAGATGCTCCACGGCGACGGGCAGTGCCGTTCTGGGTTAGGGTCAAGTGTCCATTTCCTGTTGAGTCCACGGCTCCGAGAAGCGTGGGCACCCGCAGAGGCCTGGCAGGAGCCTAACCTCTGATTTCCAGTTGTGTGGGTTTTTTTGAAGGGGTCACACTGTCAGTGCTGGGGGTCCATGTGTGGTGCTGGGGGGTGATGAGCCTGAAGAGCAGGAAGCAGCCTAAGGCCAGGCTCTATTCCCAGGAGAGCACGGTCCTCTGAGCACTGACTTAGGAGTAAGCCTTGAGCACCACCAGGTGTGGCTCAAAAACAGAGGTTAGTCAAGGGTTCTGAGAAACACGGAAATGGTGCCTGCGGGGCTGGAGAGGGCAGTGGGCAGGGCACTGGCCTTGCTGGTCACTACCCAAGGTCAATCCTTGACACCTGTTTCGTCCCCTCGGGCTTGCCTGGCATGATCCCTGAACACAGAGCCAGGAGTCAACCCTGAACACTAACAGGTGTGGTCAAATACCAAATGCAAAAATACAAAACAAAGCAAAACGGGCCAGAGTGATAGTACAGTGAATATGGCATTTGCCCTGCACACAGCTGACTGGAATTCCATCCCTGGCATCCTATATGGTCCCCCAAGTACCACCAGGAATGATTCCTGAGTGCAGAAACAGGAGTAACCTCTGAGCATCACTGGGTGTGGCCCAAAAAGTCAAAAAAATTAATAAATAAAATTAAAAGAAAAAACCCTGCTTATCGTGTGTGATCCAGGCTCCCCCCACTCCCTCGCATTCACCCCTACCTTGCCTGTCTCAGCAACCCACCCGGCCCTCTCTGCCTGCCAAGGGGACCATGCACCCCGACCCACCAATGCCCTGCGCGCCAATTAGCAGTACACGAGCCACAGGGCAGGCTGCTTATTAAGCCCGAGACAAATTATTGTTATTATTGTTGTTATTAGCTCCCACCCACCTACTCTGGATGCCTGCCCACCAATTATCCTAGCTTTCTTCTCCTGCCAATCTCCCCACCTCCCCCCACCTGCTGCACCTTCAATGTCAGAGTAGCCACACTCTCCCAGACATGCCCCCATGGTGCCCACCCACTGCCCCTATAGAGCTCCAGGCAGGAGGCTCTACGCCCAGCCCTCCCACTTCTCCACTCAGGGTGGGAGCAAAGGGTTCAATTAGAAAGAGGGGTCTAGTTCAGCAGGAAGGGCATATGCCTTTCACGTGGCTGGCTTGGTTTCGACCCCCAGCACTCATATGGTCCCCCAAGCACCATCAGGAGTGATTCCCAAGTGTAGAGCCAGGAGTAACCCCCAAGCATCACAGGGCATGACCCCAAAACCAAAACAAATATAAGTTTGAATGAGGAACGGGGCAGCCAGGGAGTCTAGCAAAATGTCATGGAGGTCCTCACCAGCTCAGTCTCCAGAAATCGGAGGACACACGCGCCCAGGAAAGCACACAGCAGGGATGTCTGCCCATGGCTCTGACCCTTCCCCCCTCCCCTCCTTCCAGAGCTGGTAGGGACCTCCCTGGTTGGCGCTCTCCCGCAAACACATGTGCTGTGTCCCCATGGTTTGAGTGGGCTGGGTGGGGCTGGGGCTGGGCTCCCACATAGCAGCCCTTGCAGCCACAGCAGGCACAAGCACTGGCGAGGGCTGGGTGCTACGGGGGACCCCATGAGGTAGAGTAGCAGACTCATCTCAGTCTCCTCAGGGCACATCACGGACCCCCAGCCTGCACCCTCTCACCTTCCCCATGCTCCCCACTCACCCAGCCTATCACACCACACATGCACATCTGTTCTCACGCACCCGTCACACCATCACACACACCTGTCACACTTACCCCATCACACTCCCCGCTCATACACATCTGTTCTCACACCAAGTGCTCACCTAACTCACCTTATCTAACTGAACTATTCCGGGGTGCCCCTCGCTGCTTCTATTCCCCTCCGGGTCCAGACCCCCACCCCCAGGGTCTGCAGTCTCAGCCCAAGGTGGAGAGTGGGAAGGGGGTGTCCCGGGGGCTGCTCCAGCAGATGAACAGCCCTGCCACGGTCCTTGTCCCCACCCAGCACCCGAGCACCTCAGGCCTGTGCCCCATTGCCCCACCGGCCCCTCTGAGGGCCCAGCACACGCCTCACGCAGGCTCCTTCCCTGGCACTGCACGGTGCCTGGTGCACGCTGCCTGAATCCCAGGGGAAGTCCCCCAACACTGCCCCAGGCATGCTCCCAAAACTGTGCTAAAAGCTGGCCTTTGCAGCCACACCCCTTCCACTCTGGGGATCCCCTCCCACCCAGACCCCAGGTGGGACTGTGCCTCCCTCTCTGCTGTTTTGGGGGTGCAAGCCTACAAGCTGTGTCTGGGCACATGCCTCTCATGGTCAGGTACAGGGGAGCTAAGGTACTGGAGAACTAAGGCTAGCCTGTACCTCCCCTGGCTCTGCTATTCTGGGGATCCCCAGTCATGTGGGGGAGAGGGCTGACAGCCCCACCCCCTCCCAGCACTCCAGTCCAGCACTGTGACCCCGTGCCCATGGAGGGTGCAGCAACCGCAGGGAGCAGGAGGAAGGAGAAGTGGCAGGTCCAAGGTCACAAGCTAAGAGTCACTCGTGCCCACCAACCCGCACACACCCCACAGGGGCAAACTGGGGCTGCCCATCCCCAGCGGCCACAACCCGTGCGGGGGTGAGTGGGGGACGGGAACACCCAGAGGTCACTGGCCGCGCTGGGCCACCAGGCGGCAGCGCCAAGGTCTGCGTGGGGCCGGCCTCTGGTGCCCCACCCGGGTGGGACTGGAGGGCGGCCAGGAGGAAGCGGCGGGCGGGAGCTGGCGGGGGGTGGGGGATGACCCCAAGCTCTCGGGACAGGGGCCCGCCGAGCCTCGCGCAGACGGCTTAGGCTTAGGGGCGATAAGCGGATCCAAGCGTCCGGGGGCAGGAAGCTGCGCCCCGAGCCCTGGGGCGGGGACCGTGCGGGCTCCGTGCAGGACGGTCCAAGACCCGGGGCAGCACTTTCTTGCACGACCTCCGCACCGGAGTGTCCGACACGTGTCCGGGCCACCGTCCCGGGCCCTCCCGACCTTGGTCTGGCCTCACCGGCCACGGGAGAATGAATGAGCCGCGCACCGCCCGGACGGCCCGGGGCCCCGAACGGGGGTGGTAGGGGCCGCTGCTTCCAGTCAGGCCCGCACGGACCCCTCCCCCACTGGGGCCTCAACTTCCCCCTGAGTCGCCAGCACTTCCGGCCAGGCCCGCTGAGGGCAGCCGCGGGTCCCGCCCCCCAGTCCCGAATTCAAGCCCCCGGCGCCGCGCGCTCCCGACACGCGCGCTCCCGACGTCGCGCACGCGCACTCCCGAACTCCCGCGTCAGCGGCCGCGCGCCCACTCACGCCCCCCCCGGCGGCGCGCACGCGCACTGGCCGCCAGTCGCGCTCGCCCAGCGCCGCCCGCCCTCCCGCCCCCCCGCCCGCAGCCCGGCCCCCGAGCGCGGCCCCCGCCCCGGCGCGCGCTCCCAGCCCCGCGCCCCGCTCACCTCCTAGGTCCCGGGGCCGCCGCGTCTCACTCCTCCTCGTCGTCCTCCCTGGCGGATGGTGGCAGCGGCGGCAGCGGCGACTCAGACCCTGGGGTCAGGGGGACGGGCGCCCAGGCCGGAAGTGACCTTCCCGGCCGCTTCCGCCCGCGCCGCTCCCCCTCCTCGCTCCCCCTCCGGCCGCCGCCCCGTCCTCGCCGCTCTAGGAAGAAACTACCGCCGCCCCCGGGCCGCCGCCCCCCGGGCTCTATGATGCGCCGCGGGCGCCACACGGTGCCACTTCCGGACGCCTCTAGGACTGCGGTCCTCCGGCAGCGCTCTATGGCGCCGCGCGCCGAGGGGCTCGAGCCCCGCCCCTCCAGGCCGGGCGGCGCGGGCCGGCCCGTTAGGCGGCGACTTCCGGCGTGTGCGCCTGCGCGCTCCTTTCGGGCCGATTCGCGCGTGGGGCCGCGAAGCTGCTGTCGTCTCTGTCGCCGCGCGCCCAGGGCTGCCGTGCGAGCCTTGGAGACGAGGCACGGTCCGGAGCCTCGGGCGTCCGCCGCGCCGGCCCCCAAAGTGCGCTCTTAGAACCTGCCGAGGAAAAGGATGCACAGGTCGGGCGCGAGCCCAGGCGGGCCGACCCGAATCAAGACTGGGCGAAAGCATCGCTCGCGGCCTCTGTCCTAGGGTATTTTATCCTTTGTCCGAGGAGCCCCCAGCGCCAAGAACCAAGATTCGGGCCGAAGCGGGGTGCCCATTGGGTGCTCATGAGGTAGGGGGTCTGAGGTTTTTGGAGCGTTCTCGCTAGGAGCTGGGGCGCGCTTTTGTTTTCCCCTACCTGGGGACGGTCCTGGACTCCCCAGACACACTCGAGGCTTACTGTCTGGCCTTTTGCACCCCCGTCCTGGAACGAACCCAGCACCCGCAGTCAACGGGAGGCACGCCTTGGCGGAGCCGCTTTGACAGGATCAACGGAGGGAGGATAGGTGACCACGCTGGCCCGGTAAGCTCTCAGCGCAGGCGCCAGTGACCGCTCGACCCCGTGCAGGTCTTGGTTCCGCGGTCCGCACCGGCCTCCGTCCCGGACGCCCAATCAGTCGCTGGTGCCTGTGCGGGGTCCCAAGCGCCTTTTGCAGGAGAAGCGCAGCCACCCATAGCTTCGGAGACGGTCCCGGGTGTGGCCCAGGGCTTGCAGAGGGGCTCATAGGCACTTTGTGCGTAGACCTCAGGATGTGCCGCCAGCATATGCAAGGCACCAGGGGCATAGAACTAGTTCGGCCGACCCAGTGAACCCCAGGATTGTCCATTATGAAGAGCCAAGAGCCAGGCAGGATCCCGGGCCATCCCAGGCGGAGCCCAGCCTCATCTCCCCCGTGAATGCTGTAACCCAAAGGCAGGCAATTTTAGATAATCTTTTGAGGTCATTTACCACCCCCCCCCCCACCCTCACAAAATCTGCCATAGAGGGCCCACCCCTGTCCCCTGCAAGTAGATTACCTGAGCCGACCTACCTTCCCTTATGCACAGCCTAAGGGGAACTGCTTTCCACCTGCTGAGTGCCCCATCCCCAAACTGCGCAGTGCACCCAGTGCGATCTTTCAAAACAATTCTTGCTTTGCACACTGCTGACCTGGGTTTGATCCTCAGCACCACATGTTCTCCACCAGGAGTGATCCCTGAGCATAGAGTCAGGAGTAATTCCTGAGCACCGCTAGGTGTACACTCCAAAGGGGGGGGGATAACAAACTCAGTTGACATTTTGTTAAAATTTTTCGTGACAACTGTGGGATCCAGAGCAAACTTCTGACAGCCTTTGGGGCTGAGGAATGTAGGAGAATTCACCCCAAACCTTCCTTCAAAACAGACTGCAGTGTCCAGAGGGCCTTAGAGCAATTTGTTGGGCGCCCTTGCTGCATTGCTGGGAAGCTTCACAGGATTCCTTGAAGTCGGGAACCTGCTGGGAGGGCCAGGTGAGGTCTTGCTTGCAGAAGCCTCGCCTGCCTAGATAACGGGCTCACTGTCACTGTGGCCTACTCAGGTCCCTATCATTCTGCCCCAGAAACCCCAAGCTCTGCGCATACAAGCCTGGCTCAGGTTTGGAATAAAGGGGGATATGAGGGTTAGGGATGCAGCCCCGGAACCACTGCTGATCCCCTTTGGCATCTCCCTCCTACAGATAGGGACTGCTGTCAGTGGGCAGCCCCCAGGCACAAAGAAGTCGCATATGAGATTCTCCTGGCCGCCAAGACTAAACATGGGACAAGCACTCTGTCACCAAAGCCATGTGTGACCCAGCCCCATGCCCACCTCCCAAGTCCAAGTCCTCCATCCTCAAGTGCTCCTTATACCTGGGGAAGCTATGGGACATGCAGCACATTGATAAGGGACTTCGTTTTTCCTTCGATGTAAAAGCATCGTAGGACCAGAGTGATAGTACAGCCAGTAGTGCAGTTCCCCAACATCCCATATGGCCCCCTGAGCACTGCCAAGAATAATTCCAGAGTACAGATTGAGGAGTAACCCCTGAGCATTGCTAATGTGACCCAAAAAGGCAAAAACAAAAGTGTAATGGTTCTGGGCCAGTTCTGTCTCAATGGGCTGTAATACATGCTTAGCATTTGGGACCAGCCCCTGACTTTGATTCCCAATACCACAAGGGTCCCCTGAGCACCTCTGGACATGGTCCCAAGATTAAGAAAAAAATGTGATATTTATCCCCCCCACCCAAATCATTTATTTGAACTGCAAATAAAAAACCATGTTCTTTACTATGATTATATTTTGCTCACTCTGGCAGTTCTGTGTAGAGGACAGTGGATGGGTCGTCTGACTTAACCTAACCTTTTCTTCAGTGCCTCAAGTAATCCAGTCCCTAGGAAGTCAGTCATAAACTACCAAGACTATAACAGCTAGGGCTGGGTTGCAAGAGACAGAAAGACAGTTAAAACAGGAAGGGGGAACTTAGTATAACAACCAGATAAATTTAGATATTTACACCTTCAGGAGTGTCTTGATCCAGAAGCTCAAGAATTACAGGGGCCTGGACTCCCTGGTTTTTTGGTTCTGCTTGCTTCATTTGTGGTTTACCAGAGGCATCCTCAGGAAGGTGAGAGACTATAAAAGTTTACAACCCACCCTCACCTCTTTTTTTTTTTTAATTTTTATTAGTGAAACACCATGAAGTACAGTTGTAGACTTACAAATTTTTGTGCTTGGGTTTCAGTTATACAGTGATCAACTATCCATCCCTCCACCAGTGCCCATTTTTCACCACCACAAATCCCAGTATCTCCCCCCCCCCCCATCCCCCTCATCCCACTCTGCCTCTGTGGCAGGGCATTCTCTTTTGTTCTCTCTCTCCTTTTGCCACGCTCACCTCTTAAAAGTTCCCCCTGAGGGGCTGGAACAATAGTACAATGAAGGATGGTAAATGTACTTGCCACAAATGCAGCTGACCTCGTTTCGATTTCCAGTGTCCCGTATGTTCCCTCATGCACCACCAGGAGTAATTCCTGAGCATCACTGAGTGTGGCTCATAAAAGAAAAAAAAAGTTCCCCAGGGAAGGTGCAGTTTCTTTCATGGGTCCCTAGGAATGGCCCATTCTGTATCACTGGCTCTAACCATTCAAGGGGTGGGGGGTGGGGGAAGATGTGACAAAGGAGTGAACTGGCAGTGGGACCCCCTGGTGCTGAGGAGGGGTGGCAGGCAAGCCATTGAGTGCCCAGTGCCTTTTACTTAGTAGCAACAGCTAGCACCCAGGAGAGTGAGTCAGGCCCTTCTTTCTCTGACCCCACTTCACCCTAGAATGAACCCTATCCCTTCACTGCTCCTGCATCCCATGCTCACAGTCTGCGGTGGGGGGGGGGGTCATGTCTGGGTGAGAGTTCCAGGGGTGAACCCTCCTCCTGTTCCCAGCACCTTCTTTGAAGGGGACCAGTGTGCTTTGGAGGGGTCATCTCTCCTATAAGGGAATGATCCCCCTCTTAGCAGCACGTAATAACAACTCATGGGCCCTGAGTCTTCCATGGGGGTGAGGTGTAGGGCACATCCTTAAGTTAAGAAGCCTTAACTCTTCCAGTTGGTTTTGGGCCCCAGGGATGGGTCTGCTGAGCAGGGATCAACCCTACTCTAGCATACAAAGCTTGTGCCCCAACCCCACCAAGGAAACAGCGAAAACCCAGAGTGCTCTGCTTCCTTAAAATGAAATAAAACCCCCTCTGCAAGACAGAATTGGATCCGTTTCCTGCTACCTCTTCTCTAAAACTTGATACCCTCTGAGAGAGAAACGCTACAAACAAACCCCAGGCTGGAAGCACCTCAGATAACCCTGCATTGAGTTGAACTGGAGAGCTGCATCCTGTGTACCCAGAGCAAACATGGGGCCAGAGGGCATGTGGCTGCCGAAGGTGCTAGTCTTGCACACAACCAACCTGAGTTCCAGTTCGAGTTCAATCCCCTGCATTCCATATTGTCCCCCCTGCCCTCCCCCCCCCCCCTCCGCCCGGCAGGAGTGAGCCCTGAGCACCACCAGACCCCTGTGGAAGAAGGAAAGAGGAAAGGAAGGGAAAGTTACATCTGAGCTGCCCAGTTCAAGCAGGACCTTCTTTGGCAAGGACAGAGCTATCGATAACCTGAGAGGATTAAGGAGGGTTGTGAATAGATGAGCAATAAAACTGCGGCCTTTCGAGCCTGGCAGGTGAGGGCTGACGTCCTTTTCCTTTTGACCACCCATTCTGCTCCCTCCCAGACATGGGAGAGAGGGTTCCACATGCGCTCATGGGGGCCCCTGGCTTCTGGGCTCCCTGGGTGCTATGGCTGCACCGGGGCAGAGGGAAGGGTTTCCAAAAAGGTCAGTCACTTGGCACAGAGATCCAGGGCTTACATACTGGCAGAAGTAGGTATTAAGAGCCTAGACCCAAAATTCATAATTAGCAAAAAGAGGGACTGGAGAGCGAGCTCTGTAGGCTGAGTGCCAATCCTGGTAGGGAGCAGCCCTCTCTATCTGTTCATCATTCATCTTGGGTGCTGGCTACCTCACCATGCCCTGGAGGAGCCTCTGAAGCCCCACCAGGAGGAAGACTTAATTATTATTTGGGGTAATAATTACAGCTCTGCAGGGGAAGGGCTGCATGCTGCAAGAATCCTGCCCTGGGGGTGTGGGAAGCTCTTGCTCTCCAGATGTGAGAGCTCCAATTTGGGTATGGGGTGGGGAGGGGCTTGGGAAAGAAAGCCTTAGGTGGTGGCCTTTGGTCACTGAGGATTCTGGGCTGTACTAGGTGGACAGTAGGGAGAATTGGTTCTCACTAGACCTGTGACTTGGGGCCCTGCTAGCACCACACAGACCTAATAGCCTCTGAACCCGGGGCTACCTAGTATTAGCAGAGCCTAAGGACCCCCATGTGGT